CTGAAGGACGTTCATTTTCAGCCTTATCGGCCGTTAAAAGAAGCCAAAAGCTTGTAAGGTGATGCCACAGGCTTACCGCCAAATATATTTAAGGAGTTTCTTCGCAGTTGTCATCAGTACATTACCAAAAGCTGACAGCAAGCCGCCTTTTGTAGCAGAGCCACCCACATGACTCCCGGTTCTCCTGACGAATTGTCTTTGATCAGAGGAGCCTTCGGGCTTTTGTTTCTGCTGCTGCTTTTGCTGCTGCTGCTGCTGCTGCTGCTGAGGAGCCTGGCCAGCCTCGGAAGGGCTGGGGCCTTGCGAGCACTGAGACCTCTGTGGCTCAGGCCCCCCTGTACCCCTGGTGGCATCAGTGAGAGAGCGGCGGTGTAGCAGCAGACAATCAGGGGATCGTCTCAGGGGCAGATACGGCTGCGGCTGCTGCAGCCGGCAGGGCAGCAGCACGCTCCATCTTCCTGGCGCTGCTTCCGCTGCCACAGCTGCTGCGGCAGTTGCTGTTGTGCAGTCGGACGTAGAAAAAGGCCGTGGTGATGCAAAGACAGACGGCGCAGCCGAGCAAAGATGAAAGTGCCGCAGGCCTCCGCTTGCGCCAGGATCCGTGGTGCACCTGCTCGCGCTCCGAGCGGCGGCGGAAGCAGCGAAAATCGCAACGCCTTCCTCACAGCCTCCAAGCAAACGAGTAGCGAAGGGGCTGAGGGGTGCCTTAGGACCCCTAGGGCTCTGCGTTCGAGTACCAGTAAGACGCCATCCCAGCACCACTGCTGGCTGCGGTGGAGAAAAGGGGGTTGCAGCGCATGTCCCTGAAGTAGAAGTACTTACGCCAACCGGGTAAGGGGTGAACGCGGTCAGGGCCCTACTGCTGCTGGATGCTGGCTTCGCTGCCACTGCAGGGGTGCGCCCAAGTGAAAGCGCCCGCGTCATTGTGGCTTTCGCCAGAAATCTCGAAAGAAGAGGAAGAAGCGGTGAAGAACCCAGAAACAGGCTCACACAAAGCTCACAGAAGTTCGCGCCCGCCTCGCTCTAGACAGGCTGCAGGGTAACATGCCGCAGTGATTCAACTTCTGCCGCCCGTGCGGCCCTAAACCCTCAACTATAGCAACCCCCCCAAGCAGATATCCGAGAGAAGAAACCCAACACCACTCGCAGCAACGGCTGGCTGCCCTGCCGCTCAATTCGGAGTGCTGCTCCGTGAGTGCATGCAATAGATGGCCCGGGACTGCAGCGTACTCTGAAGTTTAAAATTAGAAGAAATACATTACCAACCACCCTTTAACCGACAGGAAAGCCTATTACGCATCGCCAATTCTATGTTTGGAGACTACTGCATGCTTCCTATTGCGTCTGCTGCGGCATGCGGTACTCAATAGAATATCCGTAAAGACTCCTCCTTGTTGACCCACACATGGTCCTGTGCTGCATCCTCACGATAGCTTCCGCCTGATGTGTCCACAGGAGCCAACTCGAAGGCTCCTGCCGCTGATGACCACGGGGGTTCACTGCTGCCCCTGCTGCCACTGTAGCTCGACGATTCGACCTAGCGCTATGTACATAGAAGACAGATTGACGGAGTCCAAGCTACTGCTGCAGGCAATACATCAAAGCAGAAGTGCCTAGCTGTAGCCAGCTCCAGAGCTGCTCTTGTAGGGGTGGGGGATGGCTCAGTCCATCAAGCTAGTCCCCACACGAAAGCAGCGGGTGACAAGGGTAGGAGGCTGCACATCACTCTGGGGGCTGTAAAAAATGGGCGAATACACTGGCCCAAATGAATTTCTTCGTGGCGCAACTGCGTAGTAAGCCCGTATCGAGACCCCCTGAGCAGTGCCAGCCTCAGGCTGCTATTGCTCAAGGTCTCAGGCTGCTATTGCTCAAGGTGGTGGTACCGCTGTAGGCGCTCAACTCTGCTGTGATGGAGAAGCAGTTACAGAGGAAAGCGCGACTGTAGATCATTTGCCGCGCATCTGTGTCATCGGGTTGCCAAGGAAATCGCCCTCGGCTAAATTGGGGGCACCACCAAGAGGGAAACAGGGGCCGGGCGTGGAAGTCTAGTAATATGCTTAGCAGAAACCTTAAAGCCTCAAGCAGTGTGTACAACGTTGCGGCTGAGACAGAAGGCCCGGAACCCTGTGCTCACTCTGTTGCACCATTTTGCATTAGAGAGTCGTAGCAAAGAGGTATCTAGTTTTGGGACCCCCGCAAAATGCAAAGAGCACCACCCTCCATCGAGATGGGTATCCAAAGCTTCTGTAGAGCACATGAGGCTTATGTCGTGGGCTGCCACCCCTTGCAGCGATTCAGCGCACAAAAAGGGATTCTTTTGGTATGTTGATTGAAGTGACCATCCATGCCGCTCAGGACCCCAGAGACAAGGGTAGTTTTCTAATAGGAAAAAGAAGCCCCGTCAGCAAAAGCAGGAGGCAGCTTGATAAGCACACCCGCGAGGCATTTCCTTCATTACGGGTTAACTTGCATCGCCTTGGCCTAAATTAAGTGCGGGGGCTATAGGAAGCCCTCAGAAAGCATCTACAGAGGACACAGCCTCTTCCCAGTGCGGAAGGACCACGCGACCAAATTCGGTACTGTACCCTGATGTTAGGAGCTCTTTACTGGCCCCCAGTAGCGAATTGCTTTGTGCATTGTTGAGGTGATCTCATGACCGCTGCTGTGGAAGCGCCGTCTGAGGGCCCACTCCTTCCCATGCAGGGAGTCGAAGGCTGCGATTTTTATTGCTGATATTGATATCGTATCTCCGTATCACATTCCATTGTCTGTTTAAATGGCGCACTGGGGAATATGTATTTGCAGCTGTCTGCCTATCATGATCTCCTAGGAGGCCCATAGCAGGCTGTGTCTGAAATCGCGGTTCGTTAAACGAATTTTTGGAAAGGCGCGTCTCGCCTTCGCTAGCTTGAACCCTTCTTAGAATTACTGTGTCACCTTGCAAAGGCAGGACTACTTTGCCTTGCTGCTTCCACATCGTGGTGTATTTGCGCCAGCCAGAATTCGAGCTGCTGCAGGATGCGCTGCTGCTGATGGAGTTGACGCTGTCGCTGGGCTGAAGCGACATAGAGAGCGGCCACAAGTCCTGTTGGACCATTTGTTGCAGTGGCTGCATCTCGGAGGTACCAGTTTTGTAACCCCTCGGGGTTAATGGCGATGTATGTGTGTGTGTGTGTGTGTGTGTGTGTGTGTGTGTGTGTGTGTGTGTGGCGGGGAAGGCGGCGGGGAAGGCGGCGGGGAAAGAGGTATCGTTCATGCTTGAAACGCATCCAAGAGGCCGTGTTGTGCAAACATCATGAGAATAGGCTTTGTGAGAGCAGGGCTATTCAGCAGTAATATCCGTACATCACTGATCTTGTTTCATTGCGTCATGGTAATGTCAGAATCTGAATCTAAGTTTGTAAAGATGGGAGTCACTGATTCCTACAGCTTCAAATCACCTGAGCCTCAGGAGGCCAAAATGATTATTTAACCAAGCTACCACAATCTTTTCCAGATCAATCTTTGAAAGCTCACAAGAAAATTGAAGAGTGGCCAACCATTAATATAGAGGCAGGAAAGAAGGAAAGCTCTCCTTTCGATTCTTCGAAGGCCAGCGCAAATACTCATCCAAGAGAGCCGCGCACCGGACTTCCTGGGGCAGGAGTCTGCAGTAGCCAGCACCCAAGATAGTACACCAGACGTTGTATGTTGTTACGGCGCACGAAAAACGACAAAGACGAATAAGAGGAGCACAAATGTTTGACGCGAATACAGCGTCGATGATTTATGACAAGGGGGAATCTTGTGCTTCTCTGGAGCCTTCTCTATCTTCGGAAAAGCAGCAGGTACCCCAGAAAAAGCGATGGCTGGGAGTGGTGGCACGTTTGACACGCGTTCGCGACATGGTCCAGCAGGCCTAGCTCTTTTCGTAAATGGAAAACAGGACACAGGAGAGCAAGTAGCTAGCACTAACCGCAACACTAGGAGACTAGCTTTTGGCCGAAGCAACTGATACAAAAAACCGCCTTCGACAGGTCCTGCGCTAGCAAATGCACAGTGGACACGTTTCTTTGCCCTTGGAGATCCTTCATTACACTGGATCACACTCGTGTGAGCAGGCGACCCTCACTCGGAGATATATCTCCACGTCGGGCTTCCACTCGACACCTCACCGATACGTCTTTTAGCCATAGAGCCAGCTGAAGCATTCGCATTTGCTTTAGAGGATCTTGGGCAATCGCTGCTGAATCCAAAGAATAGCCGGCCTGTCAGCTTTATCGTGCATTTTCTCTAAATGTTTAGTGAGTTCCTCAGCACGTAAATATAGATGTAGATATCTGTTGGGAAAAGTTGGACTGCACTGTGACGCACTCTCGAACTGCGATTGCATTTGCAGCTTCTGTACAAAGAGGCGGAACGCAGCAATAGGTTCCGCGAAGGCTATCCTAGCAAGCTTTATGATGGCTCGCTGTCGAACGCTCTCAACTCCCTGAATGGGCATTTCTACCACCTATATTGCACGTCCCTCAAAGCCCTCCCTCTGTACCCATTCTATCTCTCTGCCTAATTATCAGTCTATCGATCACCCAGTAGCACAGCCCACGACTTAGCGGGGTCTTGAATCTACAGTCATACGTCCCGCAATGAGTCAATTTGCGCAGAAAGAGGCACGGATAGACAAAGTAGACAAAGTCGAATTTGGCTTGCGCAAAAATTGGGTGAGGAGTGGGCGAATAAGTATTCCTACAAAAAGAAATCAGGTACGGGCACTGCAGACACCCACAGGCCACCCGACAGAACTAGCTGATCCGTCTTGCGTGCATGCATGCATAATGAAATTGAAACACACTTGGTTCCAACACTGTATAGTAATCGCGCTTTCACCAAGGCCTCCGCACCCCGCGCAAAGGTCTTATAGCTGCGCGGCGAGACGCTACACACGCCACGGATCTCGTATGGCATGGCGCGCGAATATCAATTCTAAGAACCTTCCTCTTTGTATCGCAGATCCTTGCGGCCTAATGAACGATGCTTCTTCGCGGCCCGAAGATCGCGGTGCCCACGCGAACTTGTGTGCTGCCTCTAGGGATTGCGAGGTGCATGTCGCTCGACATTCCCATGCTCAGTTGCAGAGACTCGCCCTCTGTCAACCACAAACAAGGCAGCACAAACAACTGGCTGGACTGTCACCGCTTTAGCTTAAGTACGCCTACTGCAGGTAGTTGCTGACATCGGTCTCATACGCCAGCATCTCGCCCTACTTTCCAGTGCGTTCTTGATTATATCGTTTTCTGTCGCTTTGGCTTTCAGCTGCTTCATCCTGGTAAAAGCCTCCACAGCCGACTCTTCATCAACGGGGCTGCAGTGCGTTATACACCACATACACATACATACATACACAAACATACCTCCACATGCATACGTACGCCCACACAAACACATCATATACACACACAGACACACGGACCATAACAATTGAAGCCTGCACGGCTTCGGAAGGAAACAGATTCAAGCAGAAGGCGAATGGTCTGGAAAAAGCAAGCAAAACTGCGGGGCTTGTGTTATCTGGGAGTTGGCTTCAACACCCCCAAGGTCAAATGAAAAGGCCCTCCAGCTTATGAAAAGGTGGTAATGCCTGTGATTGGGGACTGCACAAATGTAACCACGTATACTCCAGGACAGCACAAAACACGGAAACGTGGAGATTTAGGAAGCGGCCTTCTACGCCGCCACTATTGTGGTCCTCACGCGACTGTCATAAAGCCTTTGAAAAGGAGGTTCGGGCATTCCTGAACGATGAAAGTGGCAAGGGCGAGAGCACCCATCTCTGCGTCGGGCCAAGTGGGTCCTGTTACACCGCTCTTTTGGGGTTCTAGACCAGCGTTTACCTACCACAAACACACAAGTACCTCAGAACAAATAAAATGACGTTGAAAAAACTACGAATACGGCGGCGATGCCGAGGGGGCGGGTTCGAGGGGATAGCCCGTAAGGAAGGGCGTCGGCAAGGGGCCCGAGAGAAAGAGCAACATCGAGGTGGAGAAGCTGCACACTTGGACTAATACTCTGAGCTTTTTATTGATCGGTGCGGCCTCTTGCTGCAGGACGCTTGCCAGCCTAGGGTTATCGACGGAGTCAACCGAGTAGAGAGAAGGAACTTCATGAAGTAGCTGCCGCACCTTGTTGGTCTGCAGGGAACCTGAGGGCGTAGAAAAAATACATGTCCTTAAAGAATGTGCAGCACAGAGGCGGTGGCGGCAGCAAGGGCTCACTAGACGAAGCCAAGTGAGGCACAGAAAGATATCGTGTAGGTGTCGTCTGATTGGTCTTCATCAACAGTATGTACACGCATGTATATGCACGGCTAAAAGAGGTACCCACGTGCATAGTTAGGCCTACGCATCTCGCTTCCTGAATTGGTCACAAGCCACGACTTGGACGTACATTTATAAACCCTTATTATTGAGTGTATCCTTCAGGGTTTAGGGTCAGCATACCAATGAGGTGCCAATGAACTCTGGTTGACACCTGTGCGGCCTTGGTGATCAACTCCTTTACATAATTCTCCCCAAAATGTTGCTGTCCTGCTAGTGCTGCTGCGCTGACCGCTGCTGGTGGGTAGGTTTTGCTGACGGCAACTAGCAGCGGGAGTGTCGGTGGCTCCGCTGGAGCGCTTCCAGCATCTGTGTCTGTGGCAGAAGTGGCCGAGGCAGCGCTTGCTGCAATTCTGGCCTGCACCTCTTGGATATTCTTCTGTACGTAGTCGAAGTTCTCCCCGGCGACCTCAGCTGCCATTGTACTAAGGAGGGCCAAGCAAAATGCGCCAGCAAGACGCCCAGAACCAAATCGAGAAATGGCAGCAACAGATGTCCCTTTTGTGTTTGCTGATTCCTTAGCGACTTTTGTGAACACAAGCTTGCTGCTGGTTGTGGCTGTTGCTGCACACCGTATCGGCTGCAGTTGTCTTGAAGGACACGTGTAATACTGCGTTGGAGTGGCTTTCGGCTGAAACATTCTAGGCACAAAGTGTTGCAACAATAAAAGGACTAGAAACATACACCCTAGTATCTAGACTGGGTGGCATTACAGTGTGGCGCACACAGAGATACCCGCAGGTGCAGGAGGCGGGGGGCGTGTCTCGATTGCCTCCTGCGGCGGCCCTCCCTGCGGCTGCTGCTGCTCCTGCTGCTCGGGCTGCTGCTGCTGCCGCTGCTGCTGCTGCTGCTGCATGCACCGCGCCTCCCCTGGCATGCCGGCAGCAAAGGCAACGGCAGCAGCACCACGGGGGCAGCAGCAGCGCCAGAAAAGTGCTGTTTTGTGTTTCTTATTACCATTCACTTTTATCGGGAAAACGTCTTGGGGAGCCGCAGGTTCATGCAGCGGCGAGAGGAGGTGCAGCGGCGGCCGCGGCAGCAACATCAGCGGCAGCAGCAGCAGTAGCAGCAGCACTCCTAATTTGTAGTCATAGTACCAGTACTAGCAAGTGTCAGGGCATAATCAAAACATATTATCGTGAAAAATCGTAGCTTACCGCTTTGCAGCCGGCGAGAGGCAGGAGTCCGCCCCCAGGATTCGTGCGTGGTTGCAATCATACGAACGTACACCCAGGACGAAGGTCCCGACGCCTACACCCCGGAACTTTCACGGGCAGCACTTTGTGGTTCTGAAGATGGTGCGGAGTTACAACAACCGGGGCCGCGACGGTCAGCTGGGTGAGATCTCTTCCAGTTACTCCTCCCTTTCTTCCCTACTGCTTCCCCAACCGTCCAGAAGTGACCCGAGAGGGGGGGCTGGCATGCGGCCTCCTCAAGACAGAACTCCTGCGGCAGGGGCCCTGTTGGCGCTAGCTGGCAAGTATTGCTAGAACCGTGTTTCCGGCCAAGGCTCGTCAGCCGCGCAAAGCTTCCGCGGAAAACGAATCCCGCGCCTCCTGTTCTCCCTCTGCTGCCGTTCTTCCGAGGGCCTCTCTCCAGGGGCACCTGGCACGCCGCTTCCCTTCTGCTTCCAGGTGGCGGTTCCTCAGGATGCCCCCTAAGGGAATACTGGGAGGCATCCAGAGAGTCCCCCCCGCCGGCCTAAATGGAGGAAGATGTGGTTGGTGCTGGCCTCCGGGTGATGCTGAACTGGCGCATGCGGGTTTGGGGTTTAGGATTAAAGGTTTAGGATGCTCTCCGGTGTCCCTCCTGCAGGCCGCAACCCCTCCTTCAGACCCCGCGGCAGGGGAAAGCTCCAGGTTCCTTCGCGCAACACGGCGATATCGCGCCCCTCTTACAGCTACAATAGAAACCGGTCAGCCCTGTAGGGTTCGAAATTCGAGCCATACACCGATCCCTGGGTAGATGGAGCCGGCCTCCCGTCGCTGGATACTCGTGCTCATCCTCCGCTCCTCAGGGTTTAGAGTATGTATTCGCAGATATACACCCCGTGGACGGGGGGGTCGCATTGGCGGACTCGGCCGCGCGATGGCCTCACGCCGCAGAGGCCGCCCCCAGCAGCAGCAACAACAGCAGCGTTTTGGTCGGAGTCGCGGGCGTGGTCGTGGAAGACGTGGGGCAGGAGGGCCCAGGGGGCCCCCTGCTACCGCTGAAGGTTTGGACGCGCAGCTAGAAGCCTACATGGGGGATGACGTTGTGAAGCAGCAGCTGGACCGGGACCTTGATGCGTATTTCAGCAACAGTGCCACTGCCGATGCTGCCGCTCCTGCAGCAGCAACTGCGGGAGAAGCCGATGCCGGAACGAGTACGTACACCGCTGCCGCTTTGCTCGTGTGGTTCATTTCTCATGGCGGTGCTGTTCCCTGTTTAGTGTCGCGATGGCCTTGCTCCTGCCGTAAATTTTCTTCCTCCGGTGCATTCTTGCGGGTTTACAGGCGCCATGGAGGTTTCTATGGAGAATTCCGCCTTGTAGGCGGCCGTTGTGTACCCAAGAGCTGTGTTGCGAAGCGGTTGCTGTGCTCAGTGCCGCCTTTCGGGTGAGGGTGCTAGGGAGTGTGATGCTCTTGGTAGGGCTGCATCAATATTCTTTGGCTTCTAGCGCTCGCAGTAGCAGTAGAGGCAGATGTTCTTTGTTTGGATACCCGGAAGGGGTTCCGATGAAACGAGCAGGAGGCAACAGACTCAGAGTCTGCCATATAGTTTTCTTTTCAAACACGAAGGGGCCCCCTGAGCGCCCCTGGATAGCCCTGTCTTGTGTGACGGGGACCCATCAAACCTTTGCCCGAAAGAAGCCGCCGCCATTGGCCGTGCAATACCATGGGGTGGTTGTTGTTACGTACACCCCCAACTTGTATGCCGTATTCGTCGTCTAATTCTCGTTTATTGCTCTTGGTAGATGCAGGCGTGCCGGCTGGGACATCTAGAAACTCCCAGCACCATGGGCTTAAGGGGGCACAAGGCCGATGTGGGGCCGTAGGAGGGCCTCTACTTAGAATGTAGGCCTGTTCTACGAGGCCCCAAATCTTGCCAGGCGTTTGGGGGGCTTCTGCACCTGTCTTACGGAGTGAAGTGGGGCTGACTGTTTAAGCGCACATGCGTGAGAGAACCTGCTCAATGCGTTTCTTGGATGCTCCCTTGACGTGCAGTGCTTGGACTTTGGGACGCAGCCGGCAGACTCGAGGGAAAAGGGCAAGCTGACAGAGGGCGCAAGGGTAGAGTACCCAACGGCCCATTCATGGAGAAGCAGGCATGCAGTGACCGCAGCCCGGATAGAGGCGCAAGACACCACTCGCTGCATGCCTCTTCAACTGGCTAAGTGGAGGAAGGAGAGTTAAAATGCCGTACGGCGCAGTGACTGGGCAGAGTTGAAAAAAGTCTTATGGCCACCTGCTTAGAGCACTGTTCGCGAGACTTCCCCTTAGGTAGTTCATTCACCTGCACACACGTACAATCCAAGCTGGGTGTACACGTCCCACCCCACATCCTCAGGATCCCATTATCGAAGGGCACTCGGAGGAGTTTACGCTCCTGGACCTGGATAGCCCGTAACGGCCAGACGCACGGCACTTAGCAAAGGCGAGAGCTTCTGCTTTCTTCGGAGCTACCTTTCACACTTGCACTGCCGGTGAGCCCTTGCTGTAGAGCGAGGTAGCGTAGGGGCCCAGTTGTCTGGGGGTCCCATCTCCCCTGAGCGGGGGCCCCCAGACAACTGGGCCCCTATGGTACCTCGCTTTTATCCGGGGCTTCCGATTGTTCTAAACTGTAATTTATACTCTGGTTGAACTATTAAAAGCTCAAAGAAGCCGTGTTTACCCACGAGCTTCCTCCTGGCGAGGGACCCACTCGGTATTCCTCCGTCCAACGCCCCCGGGGCTGTTTGAAAAGGGGGCTGCCGATGCCGCCTTCTAAGAAGCTTAGAAAACGTGTGTGCGTCTGTTGTTGCTGTCTGCAAGCCGCTGCGGGCTGGGGGAAGGGGGGACCGTGCGGGCTTTCAGGAGGAGCTGGCGGCTCACAGTAAGCGCGTGCATGTTTGGAGGGCCTTGTAGCGCCAGGCTCGCTGTAAATGAACATGGCTTTGGGATACCACTTGAGAAAGGGTTTCCTCAGACGGATTCCTTCAGGAGGCCCTGCTCAGGGAGGCGACACCAGGTCCTTTCCGTCGATGAGCGCTGGTGCGCTTGTTACAAGGACTACCAGTGCACAGCAGCATATCTCGCATCTCCCGAAGCCCGTCTCTTGGCGAACTCCCGCCTTTTCGCGACATTCAGCTCACCTGCAGCAGCCGCGTGTCCGCAGATTTTCTTTTTTAAGGCCCCAACGAGTGCGCCGGGCGCTACCTCCCGCGCTCTCCGCTGTTGGCACCCTAAGCCCCTCCGGACTGTGCGCTGCCCTTAGGGAGGCCGCAGCAAAAGACCTCGACTCTGGTGCATTTTGGAGGGAGGCGGATAGACGCCTGCTCTTCTTGGCTAACACCTTCTCTCCCGCCGCCATAGCTGCTGCTGCTGCTGCCCTAGCAACAGCCAAACGTCACAATACGCAGGTTTTGCGACGACTCGAACTTCGAGCCATTGAAGTCAAAAATGTGAGCCTCAGGCTCTCTCTCTCTCTCTCTTTGACAGCCTTGGAGCCAAACCTTAAAGTCTTTTGATTCCAAGCCTTGAAACGTTTTGATTCCACCCTTTAAAATATTTTGATCCAAACCTTTAAAATCTTCAAGCAGTTCTCAGGCTTGTGTTATTTGCAGCATCCTGATCGGCTCCCGAAGAGCTATCCGCTGGCTGTTGCTATGCTGCTGTTTTGCCGCAGGAATTCAGCGGCCTCCAGGCGGCGTTGCTCTTGAACGCGTTTTCCAGACTTGCGTATACTCCTCACGAGCTGCTCCCACACTTTGCAGAGATGCTGATACGCGTACGTGTTTTTGTGAGGGATTCCGGGCGGTTGGTCTGTGCAGCTGTACGAGAAGCGGCAGGGGGACAGAGACAGGTGCAGGAGTTGCTGCACTGCGGCGCTTCTCGCACGCTCTGTTGGCGTAATAACGATGTCCATTGGGGGGGAAAGGCGGGGGAGAACGCGAGTAAGGGATCCTGTCGCTGCAGTACGAGCTGCTGTGCTTGGGGGGGTGGGGCTCCCTTGTGTGGAGGGCATATTTTGTTGGCATCGATCCGTTGTTGCGCTTCTCCCTGTGCAGAAAGACAAAGAACTGGTGTATGAGGCTCGCGCCCTTGCGCTCCTTGCGAATGCGTTCGCACGGTACTGCTGTAGGGTTTGAGGGTCTAGCAATAGCATGAAAAATCGATCCCGCTGAAGGCCTTCTCTGTATGTAGTGCTGGGGATTCCGCATTTGGCAGGGTGCTGCAGTCACAGACGTTGGCCGTTTGTTTGCTGCAGCATGGCATTTCGTCATGAGGAGGCACTGGGTGTTGTTTGTCGCCGCGCCGAAAAGCAAATCAACGAGTGTTGCGCTCAAGACGTCTCCAACCTTTTTAATGCGTAAGTCCCCAAATGGTCCGGAAATCGCACACAGCGCACGGGTGGCTTCGTAGGAGAGCAGTTTAGGTAGGGGATCTGGGGAAGGTTCGATCTGCTGCCGAGCGTTGTGCGCTGCATATTGGGATCACGTGTTGCTGAGTTGCCTGCCCCTGCGCTGCACAGTCTTCACCGGCTGGCCTATCGCAATGGCGACTTGCTGCAAGCACTGGAACGCCGGGCTGCCCGTGTTGCTGCGGACATGAAGCCTCAGCACCTCGCCAACTGTCTCTCAGCTCTTGCAGCCTTCGGCGCTGCAGATTCGCAGACCGTCGAGGTCTTGGCCGCAGAAATAGTACGCCGACACAAGAGGGCAGACGCTTCCTTAGTTAGTCCTTAGGTCTTCGCATTCATAGCCAGTCCTTCTGTTTGCTCGGTGCTGCGCTTAGTTGGATTTCTCGACGTCTTCTAAGATCCTCTGCCGCAAAAGCTACACGAGTGGCGACTGCCGCAGTGTTTTTCTGCTGTCCCCTTCCGTGCCTTTTGCACCTGATGATTCCCGGTCTTTCTGCTGTGCTTCTCTGGACGCGTTATTTCTCTTTGCTTCTGCCTGTGCTCGCCCTTAGCCGTTTTGCTGCACTGTGCTTTTTTCTAGCAGTCCTCGCGTCTGCGACACTCTGCTGCTGACTTTGTACCCCTCCCGCTGTTGCACGTGCTCCATCTGCGAAGGGGCCCTACTCCTCTGCCCCCGTCAAATGTCTTTCCTTTGCCACGTTGGTGGCGTATCGGCCTGTATTACGCAGCCGCACAAGATCGAGCACTTTTCGCCACAGGAGGTGGGGGCGTGTTACAGCGCCTTAGCAACGTTGCACTCCGAGGTACGATTCTGGGTACTTCCTGATGGGGCATTAAGGTCTTTCCGACGGCTCAAACGCCAAGGCGCTGCGGGATCTGTTTATAACTTCTCTTAGACCCTTAAAGAACCTGTCTTTTCCTCCGCTATTGCTGCCTTTGGATGCGAGCGGCGATACTGTGCTGGTTTGGGCATTCCTGCTGCAGCTGCGACTGCCCGTGGGGAGTCTCCTGACGTACTTTGTCAAGCATCACAAGCGATTTTCCGAGTCTCAGGCAGTTGCCGTGCTGCACGCCGCAGCGAGCCTTCGCAAGAGCGTCCCCATCCGTGAGATACTCCCCCTGCCCTTTGTTTGTGTTTCTGTGCTGACGCGAAGCCTTCTGGGCCTGCTTGCCGCTGTAGCTGAGTGATTCCCTGTTGATGCGCATGTGCTGCCGCCGAGTGCGTGCTGTGTTCTGCGGAATCCTGCAGCTACGGATACGGTAGAGCCTATAGTGGTGCGCTTGGCTGGCGCTGCGGAAGCTCTGGAAACATCCAGTCAGGTCTTGCTGTTGCATGCTTCAGCAAAGGTGAGGAATGGCCCCACGCTCTGCGAACTCTACTTTTTGCACGTGTGCTCTGCCGCCCGTGGCATCTGGTCTTCCATCTCGCTGCACCCCTTTGACGTATGGCCTTTTGCCAAGATCGTTATCGCGTCGCTCATTCGAAGAAGTAAGAGGTCGCTGCGTGTCCTTCTGGCTTGCGTACAGCTTGGATTGACTTCCCCCGCGTTGCTTGATTCTCTGGGATCAGCTATTGCGCGGGGGCCGCTATTTCAACAGGGGGAAACAGCAGCAGCAGCAGCAGTAGCAGGCCAGGCAGCGCCGCAAAACGAAGCTAGGGATGACATCCTGCTCTCCACGGAGCTCCCCGCACAGCCTGAGCTGCTCGAGCAGCATCAAGCGCCGATGGGCTATCAGCAGGGCGAGCAGAGACAGAAAACGCTGATAACGTTGCTGCATGCATTCGCTGCAGCAGAGCGGAGACATGTCCTATGCGACCAGGTGTATGATGCCCTTCTACGGGAATCTCAGAACCCGATGGGAGCGCTTCACGGCTGCGTGAGCGTCGGCAGTAGGAGCAGCAGTGCAGGCATCGCCGATATAAAGACCTCCGGTCTGCCTGCTGCTGTTACCTCACGGACTCCCGTCCTCCCGAACGCGCTGGCTGCCATTGTAGCGCATTCCATCGTGCGTTTGAAGGCCTTCGACAGGAAGGATATCATTTGCGCGATCGCTGGTGACTTCCTGCACGCCGTGTTGCTGCCTTGCTGCGCCTGCGTGTGCTGCTGACGGAAGGACTAATGAGAATTTTAAATCCATCGCACTGACCTAACAGGCTGGCTACTAGCGTTAGGGGCCCGGTGGTGCTTCGAAGCAGCCTGCAGCGAAGCCGCACTGGCGTCTGTGAGTGGCAGCAGCAGGCAAGCCTGCAGACGGTGTTGCGTGCTGCGTGCAGAATCCGTGTCCCTATCTGACGCGGGGAGCTTCACGCCTCAGCAGCTGGCCAATATCCTGTTCGCTCTGGAGAGGATAGAGTATAACAGACTTTTGAGTGTGCTGCACGCGCCGGTGCTGCTACTGGTGCTGCTGATGGTGCTGCTGCTACTGGTGCTGCTGATGGTGCTGCTGCTGCTGATTGTGCTGGTGCTGCTGCTGCTGCTGTTGCTTCCCGGGGGTTCGGTTGTGGGGTTGCCGCTGCTGAAGAGGAGGCTTCGGGTGGTGCTGATGCCGCTGTGCTAGTCACGGCATGAATGTCCACGTGGGCATTTCCGATTTAGGGCGCTGGTGGTAGTCAGCATTCCTTTTGCTGCGCGCATACACCTGCGGGTGTGTATCTTTGGTCTTGCTGCAGCCTCAATGGACGCAGAGGCTCGCACTGCAGAGGAGGCAACAGGCACAGGCAATATCGAGCAGTCAGCGATGCTCAAGGAAGCTGCTGACCGCCTCTCCAGGCATGCCACCATTCGCATCAAACAAGTGCGCCTTCGTAGCTACCTCAGGGGAGGGGGCTCGTGCGCTCTTGCTCATCGCGCTGCTCTAGATGCTCCAGCAGCAGTTGAATTGCCAGATGCAGCAGCAATAGATGATCTGCAGCACGGAGAGAAGGGGTCTCCGAGTGCCATGGAATGGCGGCAAAAGGCGGGGTTGCGGCGGTGGGGGGCTGAAGGAAGGAAGGGATGAAGGTCTTTTGCTTACTTAGCAGTCTGTAAATGCCATCCATTTGAGGTGCGCACAAAGCAGCCGTAAAACCTCCAAATTAGTCAGCACAACCCTTCCGTCATGTGGTATTTTTGCACGCAGCTAAGTGCCCAGTTGCTGGGAAGCGCTGCTCTGTCAGTTGCACGGGTCGCTCCCCCGAAAGGGCACGGCTCTCAGTTTCTCCTCGCTGCAGCTCATGAAGGTACGTCTGCGCGCGCTGCTGCTGCCTTTGCTGGAATGCCCTCCTTCGAGGTTTGGCTGTTGCTGCGGCTGCAGGAGCGGCCAAGGCTGCTCACCAGGAGGCTGTATGGCGTTCGGTGCGTGCGTGCTTTGCTACAGTTCCACTGCTTTCTCTCCAGGGGACTTCAGGCCTCCACGCATCGACTGCGCTCTTGGCGGCACTGATAGAGGGCTCTTTCTCCTTTGGAAGACCTTCGCAGCAACAACCCCCTTGGGATTTCGAACTCCCCGCAGAGGTGCAGCACGCGATCGTCCTGCTGCTGCAGCAGTGCGCTTCCGCCGCGCTAAAAATGAATGCGCAACTCTTCATGCGCTTCACTGTGAGATTTCCATTCCGGCCTTTCATAACAGCTTCTCTGGCACTTAAGAAGAGCTTTGCAGGAGAGGCTTCGGGGACCTCCCCGCCTTCTGTCCGGCTGTGGAGTGGCAGCTTCTTTGGACTGCGTATAGAGCCTGGCGGTCCTATTGGCCTACTGCTATCTCCACCCCTCCTCGTATTGCAACGTCCCCTCACCCTCTCTCATGCGAAGTTCTGCGTGCTCTTTGCTGCAGACGGCAACTGCAGACCTGCGTGCTGCACTCAGCCCGTGCGAGGGTCCTCTTTGCGCCGGTAGCAGCAACAGCGCCACGAGTATTAGAACCCCAAGCAGACTGGCGGCGGCTGGTGTCGACTCGCGGGTTATCACTGCGCTTCTTGCCGCAAAAAAGGCGCAAGAACAGGTGCTCTTCTGGAGGCTGGACCGCTTGGACGTGCCATTGCTTTTGGCCTTCGCCAACGCCGTTGCAGCCCCACGCTCACAAGCTGCTGCTGCTATCACGTCAGAAGGACAAGAGCAGCAGCAGTTGCTAGAGGCTGCTTCTTTTGCACAGCGTTTGCAGCAGTTCTTGCCCCTCAAGCTGCTGCGGAAGGAGACGATGGATGCCGTGTGTAAACATTCTCTTCCTCGAGCGGCTTGTGCAGACCCTGCCCACTTGCTGCAGCACTGGCGAGTCAGTTCCGCTGCAGTGGCTGCTTCCGCTGCCCTCCAGCAGCACCCACAGCAGCACGACGTCACGGCTGCATCGTCGAGGATCGCTTCAGGGAGCGCTGCAGACTTCTTAATTCAAGAGTTACCGTGTTTTAATGCTGCCTCCGCGTTCCCAACACCGGCGTCCTACGCCCGCCACCTCGTAGCGTAAGACACGCGAGCGGTCTTGCCCAAGCGATTGCTCTTCCTGTTGTTACTGCATGTGCCGTTGGCAAGCTCCTCAGCGGTAGCACCGAACGCAAGAGAGGCTCACGCGCACGCGTTTGTGCTTTGAGGCGTGCAGGTTTGCTGAACTGGCTAGGCCTGCCCACATCGAGCTGTCCTCATGTCCTCAGCAGGATGAGCACCCCGACGGCAGCAGCACACGGCTAGACACCGGACCTGAGCGGGTGCTCTGTGCCCTCTTGAGTCCTCTAAGGGCCTGTCCAGGCGCCTTCCCTCCTCCTGTTTGTGCAGCTGCAGTGCGCGTTGCCATGGAATGCGGTACGCCGTCGATTGTACCTGCTAGTTCTGCCCCAGTGATGACACGTTGCAGTGGTCGCTGCTGCGCAAGCGACTGCCTGTACTTTGGGTGGTCAGGCCAGGGCCTCATCGACGCCTGTCATAAGGCCCTTTTGCAGGCGGAGGAGCAGCACGCGTTCAGTTCCTGGCATATTTATGTCTGCGGCTGGCCAGGAGGGGCAGCAGGAACGCGCGTTTCTCTTCCCTCATCCCGTGCTGCTGCTGCCACTGGCGTTGCTGTTTTGTCTCAGGAGTAGGCGACCCGTTGCTGCTCGAGAGAGTTATGCAGCGCCTCATCGCTGATGAAGATGCTCCCGATCCAGACACCAGCGGCAGGTCGTCGCTTCCTGCCGCAGCATTTGTTGATTTGCTTCGTGGCGCTGCGGCTGCTTCTGTAATCACACGGCCTGCGCGCGAGGCCCTAATCGCCCTGGTGGATAGACAGAAGGAGCTTCTTCTGCAATCGGTCCGCATCATGTGCTGCCTTTAGTGCTGCCTTTGCTGATGCCTCTGTTGCCGTCCAAATAGCTTCTTTAGAATGCTCACTCACTGTTGCTGTGGTGCTTGCCTTAGGCCAACATAGCTGCTGCAGCAGCAACTTCCCTGCAGCGGCTGAAGCTGCTGGACCTGCCACTGCTTCAGCGCATGGTGCAGCAGCAGGTCCTTGTGTTGCAGCAGCAACTGCAGCAGCAACTGCAGCAGCCTTCAGCAGGGGCAGCAGACCTTCGCGGCGTCTCTGAATGTTTCAGGTGCCTCTCGGAACAAACAGAAGCGCATCGATTTTTCCGCAGAGCGACAGCAGGCGGTCATGTATTAGCTAACGGCGGATCGTCCGGTGGTAGTGTCTCGGAGGGCGACAAAGAGGCCGTGGAGTTTCCCCTGTGGTGGGCTCTTGACTGGACAGCTCGGTTATTGATTCTTTTGCACCAGGCTCATTCACAAGGGCTGCTGCAGCTTGTCGCGAATCCATCTTTGCAGTCGCCACGCGATGAGGAGCAGCAACAACGCCACCACCAGATTCGCGTCGTCATACCTGCTCAGACACTTGGGCAGTTGTTACGCAGCACGTCGATGCTGCTGCCCTGTCGTCAACGCGGAACCGAGGCCTTGTTGGCTGCGTTGCTGCTGCTGCAGCACACCAGCAGCAGCGCGAATACGCATGTGAAGCATCAGGGCCTGATATGCGATGCCCTACGGGTAGCCGCCGATGTATTGACCAGCAGTGGAGGAGCTCTTCCCCCGAAGCCACCTAGCGCGTCAGACGGCGACACTCGTGCGCCAGCTGACACGGTATGCTCCATTGCTGCTGCTGCTGCAGAGCACATAAGAGACGCAGAAACAACAAATATACCCGCAGGCAGCAAAAACGCCAGTGCTGCTCTTCTCAAGGAGGTTGGGGTAGCGGGGACGCTGCTCCTGCGGCAGCAAGTGCTCCCCCACTTTTTCCAGCTGCAACAACGAGATTTGGTGTCTCTATCTGCCTGGCACATGGCGTTGCTGCTGCAACCGGCGGTAATAGCGGAAGCAGCAGGAAAGGCAGAGCAGATGCAAGGACTTGTGCGAACGCTGAAGGGCCTTGCCGATGCATCCAAGAAGCAGTCTCTACAGAAGGGCGACCGAGTGCTACTAGCCCTTGTCTTAAGGTAAGCTTTACGCCTTGATCCATCATAAGAACACGGCGTAAAGCACTATCCAAACACTTGGAAATTTTGGCTTGAGCGATTAGCCATGCGGCAACTCACTATGCGGCCGTTACTCCTATGACTAGTGCCCTCCAGTTTTCCCTCTGCGCCTACGTGTGCTTTCCGCTGAGGCTGTCGCTGCTCTCTGTCTGTGTGCGCGCGCCCTGTGTTGCAGTTGCTTGCGTTTGGACGTTCCGGACGCCTGGCAAGCGATTCCACCTGCGACTCAGCAGTCTCTCAACTTGCTCGTAAGGGGCCCTGGCTGAGAAAGGCCTGCGACGGGAAGGCTTTATCCCCTCCCCAGCTCATAACTCGGTCCTTTTCAGGGTGCCTCTTCCCTAGGGTTTAGGACGAAGCGGAAAGCACTGCCTTTTTTTATGTACGAAGCGAAGGAACGAAACAGGGAGAATCTATATACATAGATATATATCTACAGATATACATTGATATTCTATGTAGATACATTTATATAGATGTATATTGATATAGATACGTATATTATGTAGCCGACGTGGAAACTCTGGGTGTCAGGGAAGCAGAGCTGCCCGGGTGCCTGAACAGTGCGGCGAAGGCGCAGAGTATTCAGTAGTTAGATGAAGGAACGAGGGGCTGTGGTGTTCGGCCTGTTAGTGACAGATAGACAGAAGCTGGGAAAAAAAGGCCAGAATAGCACCCGACACGAAAAGACCTGGATACACTAACCCTCTGTGCCTTTCGTAGTGATGCGTCTAAGAACGTCTTTCTCTTTCTCTCTGAAAGTTTAAAACAAGTGGAACTAAAAAAAGGAAGCCAATTGCATCGGGCCGGAGAGACGGTGCCGGCCCTCGAAAGCCAGCGGCCTTCTCCCCTACCCCCCGACCTGTCCATGCCTTTCCCACAGTACACCCCTGATCTGCTGCCCCTTGACCCCCCTCCCCCGCTGCTTCCCCAACAATGGCGTTTGTGACGCCAAATCGGCCAGTGACAGATCGGAGAATCTGCTTCGGGTGCGTGGCGTGCGCATCTGCGCTTGATATTCACACAAAAAGAGGCAAAGCTTCCGCACTGGGGAGGCTCGCTGCACTGCGATTCAAAAAGTTGCTTGCAACTGTAGTGCTGCTGCTCTGAGCTAGTCACCCGCTTCGCTGCTCCTCGAGCTAAGACATTGTGGCGTGCTGAGGGTAAACAACTCCACTTCTGGAGGGAGCACTAGCTGCTGTTGAGCCGCCATGACTGCGGAAGCCGCACTTCCAGCAGCGGTGGCCCCTGCTGTTACCTCTGTAGCATTGCGCTGTTTCTCCCCGCCCTGCTTGCCACTCCATAGCCACCACTGGTCCTGCAGAAGCGTTTGCCGGTGCACATGCAAAAGTTTCGTCTGCTCGAGGTCGTGGTCGAGGCCCTGCTGCTGCGCATGCTCCGCCTGCTGCTCGGGCAGCAGCGCTGCGACGAAACCGCTTCTCAGCTGCGCTAGAGCCCGTGCATCTTCCGTGTCTTCCGGGTGCCTCTGCTGCTGCAGATGCAGACGCTCCAACAGCTCGAGAACCAAGGACTGCAGCAACTGCTTCTCTTCATGTTGCTGCTCAAGTTCCGAAGTAACCTCACTTTCCGTGAGCAAAGAAGAGCAACCCGGAGAGGGAGTCGCCCTAGACACGGGATGCAGCAGCTCCTCATCCGCCGATTCTGTTCGCCACACCTCACGCGCCCCCTTCGAATAATGTGGAGTTGTTAGCGACTTGCTGCTGTGCTTAGAGACACTGGAGTCTTGTTTCCCCTGTGGCAGGTCTCTCCCAATAGCACCGGTCAAAGGCGGTTTGGAGGCCGGTGCTGTATCTGCTGTGCCTTCTGCTGTGTCAGCCTCGCCATCTACAGCGGCTGCTGACGCTTCGCCAGCCGCTGCGCACGTGTCTGCAGCCGCAGGTGTCCTCGTTGCAGGCAGGGAGTTCAAGACAGCAGCACCTATATGGGCGACGTCCTCTCGTCCATCCGTGGCACTAGAATCTGTGCGTATGGAAGCGTCAGGAAGGGGGGCTTCGTCACTTGCCGCTACGCCTGCTGGAGCCGTCGTAGGTGCCAAGGCTGCATTGGTGGGAGCTGCCGCTTCATCGACAGTCCCCGTAACCTGCCTCCCTGCTGGTGCTGTGGTGTTTCTGCAGGAAGTATTACTTACAGCGAGGGCGCTTGCAGAAGCAGCCGCTGCAAAAACGGCATCTTGGGCAGCTGCCTCCATGGCAGCAGTTGAGGGTGCCTCAGGAGTCGCTCTGACGGGGGGCGCTGCCGCCGTGGCGCCAGGAGCCGAACTCGGAGTAGGAGGATGCGGAGCAGAAGCGGCGTAGTTTTCTTCAGGAACAAGTGCGTGTTGAACGTCTACCAACGCCTGCACCAGCTCCCTGTCAGCAGTGATGGGAAGAAGCCCCCATTCTTGCTGTTGCTGTTGTTCCTTGTGGCGGCGAATGCCTTGTCGGACCGCCTCGATAGCGCCTCCTAGTAGCTCTATCCTCTGGGGTTCCCCCCGTGCCTCTGGATCCTGCTGCGTATGGTGCTGCAGCAAGTGCTGCTGCTGGTGCTCCAATAAAAACAAGAGCGCGTCCAGACAGCTGGGCTGTTGTTGTCTGGGTTCGTGAGGGTGTGGCAGCTCGTGGTAGTGTAAGGCGGTGGAGGCGTCTCGCTGGAGCGGCTGCTCTGTTCGGGGAGAAGAGGAGCACCAGCTGCTTTCCCGCGTGGCGGCAGTCTTGCTACGGACGGGATCTGGAAGTCGTCTGAAAGCCTTCGAGGAAATCGGCGGGGTCGGGCCTGCTGAGGCAGTGCATCGGGTGCTGCTCCAGCAGCATTCTGGTGCGGCTATGTACTGCGTCGAAGCGAGGGCTTCTTCCGACGCTCGGGGAGATGGCGCTGCTGCTGCTGCTGCTGTGGGAGCGAACAGCGACTGATTATGAAGAGACGAGGCGTCAGAAGGAACACTCGAGCTGCTAGAGGCCCTACACCGCGCTGCTGCCCTCGAAATGCTGCCAGACGAGCGCCCTGCCTCTGCTGCTCCTGCTGCTGGTGCTTTCCCCGAGACTGCGCCTTGTGGGCTGAGGTGTCTGGCGTCTAAAGAGGGTTCTCCAGCTGCTTCCCCGAGGGCACCCCCGAAAGCGGCAGTGCCTCCAGCAGCAGCTGTAGCTGCCACCAGGGCAGCTGCCCACGTCTGCTGTTCCTTTAGGCTGCGGAAGGCGAAAAGAAACTTCGGGCTTCCCGCCGCTTGAAACGCACGCGTCAAAGCGTCCGCGAGAACGGCAGACGCCTCTCTTGACACTGCTGCTGCTGCTTCTCCTCCTCCTGGTGCGGCTGCCTCCTGCCTGCTGCTCCACTGCAGACGCCTCGTGAGGTTTCTGGGGATTTCCCCCAGCCAGCCATCTGCACGCAGTGCAGCCTCGTCCTCCAAAGCCGCCGTCGCTGCGGCTTGCGACTCGGCATGCCAGTCTCCCTCAAGGTCCAACAAGACACCCGAGAGTGCAGCAGGCCTCCGGAGCTCGAGGGGCCTTGCCCCCGCTTTTGAAACAGCTCCAGAATCTTCGAGCGGCTCGCCTGTCGCGCACGAAAGAGAAGGAGAGACGCGACCGGAGACACATGCGCGCCGCGGCGCGCGTGGACCGCCAGCTCTCCACAGAGCGGGGAGGTTCTTGAGGGTTGACGATTCTTCTCGTGCGAGAGAGGCGGCAGTCAGCGTCTGCGGCGGCACTTCTGCAAGATCGTGACAGCAGCAACAGCAAGAGGAGCTGTTTAGGTCCCCCGTGCCTACGCCCGCGGAACGCGGCTTGGACAGCCGATGCAGCAGTGGTTCTTGCTCCTCGGCGTTGAGCAGCAATGCCATATTGGTGCAGAGACAGCCACCCTCTCTCCGCTTAGGAACGCCGCTGCAACAGCTGGGGCAACACAACGGGGTAGTAGCGGCGTCCGCAATCACTGCAACAAAGAAGGCCGCTTGTCTCCCCAGACAGTCCAGTGGGAAGGGGGGATGCAACACAAGACTGCGACTGCTTAACCGCAAGGAACCCCGCGGCGGACGTGCTGGTGCTGCGCTTCCTGACGGAGATGATCGCCACCACATAGATCTCGCAGAGCCCTCCGCTGCATAGTACAGGAGCAGGGGAGGCGCCAGCCGCACTGCACGCACTGTCCACGTGTCTGCAGCTCAACGCAGCAGCAACAACCACACAAACGAACTGCATTAGACAGAAGCGGGAAAAGAGGCCACACAACTGACGAAGCCGGCAAAAGCAGCAGTAGTAGGAGCAGCAGTAGTAGGAGCAGCAGTAGTAGGAGCAGCAGTAGTAGGAGCAGCAGTAGAAGGAGCAGTAGCAGTAGGATTAGCAGTAGTAGTAGGAGCAGTAGCCATATGCGCTCATGCTCTTAGAGGCGCCTACATGGCCACGCATTTCCTCTCTTGAGAATAAGTCCTTCCAAAGGGGAGGCCGCTGTCTTCCGCCGTAGCTGTTGCTCTTCTTGCAGTCCGATCCGCTGCTGCTGGAAGGTTCTCAAAGCCCGCTGCCTCCCCCCCACATGCTGTTGAGGTCTACAGCACATGCCCTTAACGACAGCATCCAATGAGGCAACGCCAGCTCTAAACGCCTGCTGAGGGCGTTCTTGTCCTTTTGACAGCTGCCACGAATCTCGCAGTTCAGGGTGTTGGCACTCATGCTGCCCTTGGCGCTGCTGTTGCTGCAGCTGCTTCTGATGCGGCAGCAGTCCCTCGGGGAGCGGCTGGTGCTGCAGCTGCTGCTGCCTCTGCTGCTGCTGCCTCTGCTGCTGCTGCCTCTGCTGCTGTTGCCTCTGCTGCTGTTGCCTCTGCCTCTGCTGTAGCAGGCTTCTCATGGCAACGAAACATGGAAGCTTTTGAGGGACAGCGGCAGGAATGAAGGCAGCCCGTATTGTTGTTGTTGCTATTGCAGCTGCTGTTGCCAAATTAACGGTAGCTCCATGTCATTCCCCAAGTCGATGAGGCCGCATTCGCGTTCTGAGCGCTGGGAATGCAGGACGCACGCTCGGCGGTATAATGCCTTATTACCCCGTTTCGGTGTACACCCAGTGCAGCCACCACGAAGCAGACACACAAGCAGCCGATGCAGAGACCTTTGGAGGCCCTCTTGCGCGTTTGACGGGGAAGACACCCCCGTGCTCGGTGGAGCTCGCTGCCGATGCAGCTGTGGCGGTTGCTGGGGTGAGGTTCTGTCCAGTCCCTGTATTGAGGGCAAGCGTGGAGTACCTAGTGCTCCAGAAAAAGCATATGGGGTGCAATGGAGAGCTCTCAGGAGGCCCCCTAAAAGCGTCTCAGGGGCCCTGGTAAGGCAGCGCAGCAACAGCCACACGGCGGCAGCAGCTGCTGCTGCTACAGCTGCTGCTGCATCTTGGGAAGCCACGTGGCCTACTGCTGGTGCTTCCACATAAAACGAGAACACAATAAGTTAAGAGTAGTCGGGGAGGAGATGAAGGACGAGCAAATCCAGGGCGTTGCTGCGGAAGGCTGCAGCCTTGGCTCGTGTGGTGCAAAGGACGAAGAGGCCCCTGCGCGAGCGGCAGCATCCCTTGCCGCGCTGCTGCCGTCCGGTTCTGCTGCATGCGCGAGGCTGATCCTGTGAGTTGGATATACCCCTACCTTGTAATCAGTGAGTTGGCCTCACCTTATGCCTCTAAGGGCTCGCGCTAAGGAAACGGACGGCAGCAGCGGCAGGGAGTGCAGCAGCAACAGCGGCTGCCGCAGGAGCCGCGTACGAGGAAGCGCCCTCAGGGACCTCTCACAGGTAAGCCTAGGAATAGTGAGGTCATGTCTTCTAGAACTCTGTGTTTCCCTTGCTTGAAGAGCCTGAGAATAGTCAGCCCGTCCTCAGAAGCGGCTGCCGGTGCTCATGGGAAAAACTCCGCAGTTGCGCCTCCTGTTGCTAGTGTTACACGGCAAGGGCCTCCCCTCTCCCCCCCTGACCCCCCAGCGCGCAGCCAGTTCAGCAGTGCCCTTAGTTTAGACGCACTCGGAGAGCGTTTGTGAGCAGAGCAGGGGTGAGAACATCGCCGCTGCGGTCTAGGTGTTGGTGCAGCGCTGCGTTTGCTTGTGCAGCCAAGCCAGAAACCCCATCACTACCACGATGTTCGCGTTGAAATTCCCCGACGAGGACCCCTCCGTCGGAAACCTGGAGCATCAGTTGGTGCGACGACTGCAACAGCGGCTGCGCGTATTCGTGGCGATGGTGGCGCTCCTGCGGATAGCCCCTGTCTTCCTAGGGCCGGCTCTGGAAGATCCGGGCAGCAGCTAAGCACTTGACGGATTCTCCGGTTGCCACCGAGTGAGGGAGTTTCATGAAAGCGCCATTTTAGCGCGTTCGTGAGAAGCAGCGACAACGGATCCACAAATTTCTGTGTTGGTGCTGCTGGTTCGGAACACTTGCCACAGGCCCCAGCGCGAAATCGCCTTGTTACATGATGAGAGATTTAGCGAGCAGCATCGGCAGCAGTAGTGGGGCGTTCTGTACATTAGCGGTGCCACGAATCGCCTTGCTCTGTGATGAAAATTCAAGCAGCAGTAGCAGCGGGGTGGCGGCAAAAACGGGCAGCAGCAGCAGCAGAAGCTGCGGTAAAACAGAGAGGCTTGCACGAGTGCTATCTCTGGCGGCTGCTGCACATGTCTAGAGGAGGCAGCACGATGCGATGCTTAAAGCTCGTTTGAAACGCAAAGTGACACCCGAGCGAGGCGGAGGGCCTGTGTGCGCCGAAAGGGTGGTTACACGTCTGTGCAGCAAACGTTTGCTGCTGTTGGGCTGCTCGCAGCAGCAGCGTTGGACTTTGCTGCATCATAGAGTCACATCTAGCTGAAAAGCTCCTAAGGTACTCCTCTCGAAACAGGGGGTCAATGTACCGGGTGTTCAGTGTAATGGATTCTGGGGTGCTGCAACTCCAGGTAAACCACAACGAATATAATTTTCTGCGCTGTGCACGGACTTGACACGCATTTTGCGCGTACAATGGTGTTGACACCCCGAGCCCTCTCATGGACTCTGCGCCACAGCGCATGAGCTGTAGAGGCACGAGGCACCGAGCTTTGGGGTAGAGTGTAGTGGAAGGCGTAGAGGGATATTCAATCTAGGAGTATGATGCCAGTGCCTTCTTTTTCACGACTGACAAGCCTGCTATGCGTATACTGGCATCATGAGCCTCACGTTGCCCCTGGCGTTTCTGCAGAAGTCACAATGTTATGCAGCGACCGTGTGTCAGCGTTGGCGGTACATGAGACACACACGCAGGGATGCCTCTCCCCGTGCCTTCTGCCCTTTCCTTGGCTTCTCCCTTAAAACCTCCTAACCCTTTGCAACGGATACTTCACTGTCTTTGGCTCTTACCTGCTGCTACCGTGGGGCCGCTCGGGATTCTGTTGCATCGCAGCAGCAGAGCAGCAGCACTCACTGCAGCAACAGCAGCAATGCAAACTATAGCAAAGGCAACAGAATACCGCCTGAATTATTCGAAGCCATAATAAATGAACTCTACATCTTAGGGCCAGACACACTGCGGCTGCGACCTCTGGTGATGCTGCAGCTACAGTGTTTCTGGCTCGTCGAGCAGGCTGCTGTTCAAGGCGCTTGTTGTTGCCGCGACTGCCGCTGTTGCAGCACACGAATAGAAAGTTGCAATTGAAAAACATCGTCTTAATTCACTTTGGCTTGTGTTGTCTAAGCCATATCACCCTCTGTTCGACTACAAGACCGGCGGCAACCCCTGGTGCTGCCCTTGCCGCTGCTGCTGCTACTGCGCCTTTTGCAGAAGCAGATCCGGCTACACAAAGATTGACTTCTGCATCGTGGAGTCGTTTCCACGTGCGGTGTACGTACGGCTCAAGAGCCGCGTAAGTCCTTCCACTAGAGCCGCTGCTGCCCCCTGCTGGTGCAGCAGCCCCGCGGCAATAGCGGCTGCTGTGGCGGAGGACGACAGCAGCTGTTGTAGCGGCGGCATTCCGGCATCGCCTGTAGCCGCAGATTCAAGCAGTGCTGCCGAGCCTTGTCAGTTGCGTTATACAGTCATATACCCGCTCAGGTGGCCTGCACCGTTTTGAGAGGGTCCCTTGGCTCAGTAGCAAACGGGAAAGGAGCAACGGAAGGATCAGAAACGCTCGTGCCGCTAGTGTTTGGAGTAGCACAAACAGTGGGAACCGCTGTTACAGAAAAAGGCACAAAGATGCCGTCCATCAGGGACGAGATTTCCTTCGGTACGCCTCATCTGTCGGTGCAGCCTTCAGGGTTCACGGTTGCGACTTGTTTTACCGCAGCATCTACGCACATGTCGGAGTACAGATTATTTGCGTGACTGGAGGATTGATGGGGCGAGGGTGTTTTCAAAGTTGTCTGTCTCATAAGGCACGGCAGGCTCGTCTTTTTGTTGCTGTGCGTTGCGATCCAGAGAAGCGGACAGCGGAGGCGCGCCGCATTCGCGCAAAGTACCCTAACCGCATTCCTGTCATTTGCGAAAAAGCTCCCCGCTCAGATCTCCCCGTTATAGAAAAGAAAAAGTGTGCATCATGCTTCCCCCCATCCGGTTGCTGCCCCGCCCCTCTCCTGCTTTTTTTGGCTCATGCTGCGGCTGCTTCTTTCGTGACGTTCAACTTTTGTGTTTTTTGCCCATACATGTCATCCGCCAGTGACCGTACATTATCGCCGTGGTGTTGTCACTGTTGCGAGCGCTGTTTGGAGTGCATCTCTTGGGGCGTTTGTCCTCGCCCAACCCATACAGAGGCTTTTATCGTGGCTGCCGTGGGTGTGCGCCTCAGGTTTCTAGTGCCGATGAATATGTTGGTGGGAGAGTTTAAATACATTATCCACAAGCACATCAATCAGTGCGCGTCCTCGCAGGGGGCCCCCCTGACTCACGAGAAGACGATATACCTCTTTGTAGAAAATACGGCGCCTAAGGCGGGGGCCCTCATCCAAGAAGTGTATGAACAGCACGTGGCCGACGACGGTTTCCTCTACGTGGAGTATTCAGCAGAAAATACCTTGGGTTGAAGTCGGAGACTTAACGCAGGAGCTGCGAGGGGACCGTGGAACGTTGCGGGAAGCCACAGGTTGGCGGGCTTCTGCAGAGCGCGGCGGGGAGAGGGCTGTGGTGGTAGGAGTGGCTTTTGGATATAAGCGACAGATGGATCCCCCGCGCACTGCAAATGCTGAAAGAGCAGTGAACGAAGGACGGGTTGGAAGAGCAAGGTGTGATGAGAGGCGGGCAAAGCGACAGAGCTAAAGGGAGACAGAACGGCCGGCACAGGGCTGCTCGACAACATAGATCAGCAGCCGAGCACGCCTGTTCTAAAGCAGTGCTAGGGGGATCAGCGCAGGAAGAAGGCCAGATGTGCGGCTTTCCTTTGGAGGGGCGAGGGGGGGAGGGGACGGGGGTTTGGGAGGGCGCAAAAATGATGCCAGAAAGTAGGCAGCGGAGGTTGGGGCCCCATGGCCTCCGCATGTCAGAAGGGATAGCGCGGTTCTTTCCATGACAGACACGCTGCATATTCATATCCATATGCATGCATGCACCCCTTTGTGGCGCTCCCTATCGAAGGAGATGCACCCTGTAGATGGGCCCTTCAGTGTACGATGGCGTGCTTACACACATGCACATGCATGCCCTGCACTGTAATGATGGTCCTGGGCAGGAAGGGTGCCGCCGCTGAGGGGGAATGTAGCAGCGAGGGAGAGAACAAAAGAGGCCTTAGAAGGGTCCCCCCCCTTCATCTGAGCAGCACTGCCGGTTGCTGCAAAGCCGGTGTGTATGGAGAGCTTTGGTGGGCTTAGGGAGGAAGCGCGTTAGCCTACGGCTGATTATGTTTGATGATCGTCTTGAGGACAGCAGCGTCATCAGCAGCAACAGCATGTATGCGTACATCTACAGCAGGAGGAGAGAGAGAGCAAGGTCGGCAAGGAGAATCTGCTTCTGTTGCAAGAGTGGGAGGCACATGTACCTAGTTGGTAACAGAGCGGCAGGGGGAGAATAGGGGCCCCATACACCTCTTTATGTTCCTGGGGCCCCTTGTGGGCTCCTGCCCCTCCTCCTCCGCCTCCCCCCTTTCCCCCCTCCCACCGCGACGCCTAAGACCCTTCATTTTCTATGACTGTGGATGTTCATGTGCTGACGCACCAGCTTCTTCTGTTGCTGCTGCAGTTTTGGCTGTGTCTGCTGAAGCAGCAGCTGCCTCTGCAGCTAGGGTGTGCGTTCGTTTCTGTGAGCGCTGCAACCGTGTTCGCTTATTGCTTACATAGGGGAGCATGAGCGCTTTCTGTTCCCCCTGTCTATGAAACTGGGTGTACCCACTTAGGGGCCTCGGCGGTCCCATAAGCCTTTTAAGGTGTAGTCGCTGCTACTCGGTCAATCTTCTCTATGGATCTTCTTTGCGTGTGTCGTGGCTCACTACACGCGTTAGAAGAGGGGCGTCGACAGAGGGCTCGAGTATGAAGGGCTGGTGGCTCAGACAGCTGCTGGGTGGAAGCACCCCGAGTGAAGAGATAATCTCCAAACCAAAACATTCATGTCTGCAGGCAACCTTCTGCAAAAATGAATGCTTTCCATTGCACGCCATGTCTCTGAGCGTGCAGCCCCCGGTAATTCTCTTGATCAAAAGCCTACCAAATACCATATTCTAGCTCGGTAGCAGAAGTGGGGGGCGCAGGTTCCAGAAGCAGACCGCTGCCCTGGGGCATCATAGTTCGGGTGTTGCACCTTGTCTCTTTAAAGCGGTATCAAGAGAAGGTGAGGGGTCCTCGACAACGGAAGAGCTGGCAGCCACGCGTTAGCCGCTGCTGGTGCCTCGACTGCTGCCCCGGGTACGCTGCATCTACCTGCCACTCGCGGCGCCTTGCGCAAGTGTTGTATCATCTCTTGTCGCCCCCGCCAGAGGGAGGTCCCCTCCCCGTCCGATTAGCCAGGGGTGCTAAAGGGCCTTTCTCTCGTGCATGTGGAACCTCCCGTTGTCCCTTCTTTTCTAATTCCACACGAGTTCTTCCACCAGCTGCTGCTACGCGTGTTTTGGCTACTGACGCTGCGGCAGCTCCTGCTGATCCTGAAGGAGTTCCGTTCCTCCTTGGAAAGGCGCCTCTTCGTGCTGCCTTTTCTGCCCTTGCTTGGTCGGCTTCGGCCAGCACTTTCCGGAGCTCAGGCGTTAAGGGCTTGATGCCAGCGCACCCGGGGGCCCATCTGTCTTGGTTGCCCGGAATAGGCATGGGCGGTTGATCCCAGAGGACTCTTGAGGAGACTTGCGATCCAAAGCCTTCCTCGCCCTCTGCCAGGGAAGCGATTGTTTGGAGTTTCCCCGCGGAGCTCTCAGTTCCGATTGTTTGGGACTGCTCATCTGCTGGGTTGCCCAATAACTTCTCAGGGGCCCCTGTGAGGTCACCTGGCTCCCCCAGGTCTATGGTTAAGTAGCAAAGACGTAAGATATCGAGCAGGCTGCGTGTGGCGTCTTCTGCAGCAAAAACGAAGCAGCGTCGGTCTTCTGCTCGCTTGTGGATTAGTGCAGCACCAGCAGAAACAACCTCTTCTAGTACTGCTGCTGCTGCCGACTCGGCTGCAGACAGCTCCTCCTCCCCGCCTTCATGTTTACGCCCTTTAGGGGACGCACCCAGTGGGCCCCCTCGGGGGCCCCTGGCTTTTGTTGAGGCTGGTGCAGCAGCAGCAGGGACAGGCGCCTTATAAGTCCCTGGGGGTAACATGAGGACATAGGGCTGAAAAGTAATGTGAGAGCTTGACGCGAATTAGAGTATCTATGCTGGCGTCTGTCGTTGCGCTTTCTGTTCAAGGTCACTGATGTAAGCGGTATGTTTACTTTCGCTGCTGGACCCGCTTCTCTATTGCCTACACAGTGGGCACACTGCGATGAAGAGACCACAAGAAATTAGGGAGATACTTCTTAGCCGGGTACTCCCGCTCACGAGAATTGCTGCAGATGAGTGGCTTGTGAAGGCCAAATTTATTTCTTCAGGGAATGGCGGGGGGAGCCAGTGGGTCACTTCACATCTGCCGGTCTACCGACGACGCGTGTTCTTGCATCCACGCTCGGGAAAGCCTGTTATCTGACTAAGAAGGGGACAGTGCAATGACTCGAATACTACTAGAAAAAGATATGGAACGTAAAAGTTATGATTCAAAGACTAAATTCCTCTTCGAAGCAGAACGACACGCAGAAGAACCCCTTGCTGTAGCACTCTCCTCAGCTTCGGCATGTTGCCCATCTTCCTCTAAAGCGGAGCTAGCACTTCTTCGGTCAAATCAAGGTCAGAAAACGCCCCATAAGTTTAAAAATGCCCCAGAAAAGTTTCACGAGACCACCGGAAAATACAGCCTGAGACAGCATGCACAGCCCATGTCTCCGTTAGAGTCCTTCGATTCACACGGCCCTTATATAAAGCCTCAATTCTCTATGCACAGTCCATGGCATCTTGATCGTGACGTATTTAAGACGAATGTGAAGCAGATGGGATGCACCTTCGGCAGGCTTCTAGTGAGGTCACTCAATTCCAGAATAGACACGGGCGTGTAGCTGGCTGCGAGAACCTTCTGTCTCACTGGCATCCCCCTAGGAGCACACTAGCCTCTGCGTCTACAAAGCTTTCAGTCACGTTTGCCACTACAAGTATATCCATGTGTTTGTGAACCCAGCGGACCCTGCTTGCTTGGAAGGCCGGAAATACAAGTTTATCCGGAGTACTAAACAAAAAGGGAAACATTTAAGAGGCTAGCTGCGGAGATGGCTTCAGAGTCACACTCAAACTTGCTTGCACTGCGCACTTATGATGCGCGTTGTCGAGAAAGCCACTCGTGAGACAAAAGACGGCCCCTCTTCACGATTTGCCGTGTACTTGTTGAGAAGCCAGCCAGAACCCCTCTTTTCAAGGGTCCCACGGAATATACGTACCACTCTTTTGCCTATTATTTTAGGAAACCTTAAACGAAGAGCGATGCATTTACGGTGGCGAGGATCAAGAGGAGAAAGCCACTGAGGCCCAGGTTAGCCCTGTGGGCAAGGGCGCTTTGCCGAGTTCGTGCCCTCAAAACGAGCAAGTTAGTGCTGCATAGAGAAGCCAAAAGTTGCAACACACAGCAGCCACCTAAAGGGTAGAAGAAGTTTGGGCATTGCATCGGCGGCTAGCAATGGCTCTTCACCGGACGCGCAACCGAATTAGGGTTGAGAAAGGTTTTTTCGGCCCTAATAGAGCGGGCGGTTGCAATTTTACTCAGCGCCCTTTCTCAAGGTGGGGAGAACTGTGTTCCGCCTTTCGGTTTATCAAGAGCTTGCATTTGTTCACCAAGCACATCGTTGTTTGTAGGGCGGGGCCCTCGTTTGCCGATAAACCTCTACCTGCACATCTACATGGTCATTCTTACAATCAGTGCATGCACTGTGCAGGCATCTGCGAATACAATCTGTGATGCGTTCCCATAGGAATGCAAAGAAAGCCACAAATGTCAGTCGACCACAACACAAGGTCCCCTCCAAAAGTGATACATCTCTCTTTTAGCCGAAGTACAGGGAAAGATCTCGCCTCCCTACAGCAGCAGTCCCCTCAAGCCCAGCACATCGGCGAAAAACTCCGTTCTACCCTCCTCTATATGGCACCCTTGGTGGCTCTATAAGTTCGAAAAAAGAGCCTCTGCTGCCCGCTGCACATAGCACTGCTCTTGTTATTGGGCGTGCGTGCGTGCGCGTGCCCGAAAGTATCTCGTCATGTGTGAACACAAAGATGGGAGTGTACGTACGTAGGGAGATAAGGGCTGCAGATTTACTGTGTAAGACAATTTGAAATTTTAATGAAGGTCCAAGCTACGAATATTTGGGCACAAAAGCACGTAGATTGAGAGCAAGGGTCGGCAAGTACAGTACGCATGACCCCGGGCCCATCACGCCCCCAGAAAATGCTGTTTCCCATCTATATGGACGGAAACAGCACGTGTGCCTCTTCTAGTAAAAGTGCATTGGCTTCGGAGGCACTGAGTCTTTGTTGCCTCCTTTAACTTTGCTTGCCGGGTGGTTCTGCAATTCAAGAGGCACTTGGCAGTTGGCGCTGCGCATGACTTTCACCAAGTCAAAGTAGATACCCGAGTCTTCTTCGGTTAGGAAGGAGATTGCAAGACCCTTCTTACCAGCGCGCCCCGTACGCCCTGAATTCGCATCACGAGCACCAGTAGACAATAATGCAGCATAAAGTATCGCTGGAAGGGCTAATTTCACACGCATGAAAACCGAAACACTTTGAGAGCCTTTGGCGCACTCCTTTGGCGAGCGCTAAAGAGAACCACAAATGCTTTTTCATGGTGTGTGTATGTGTGTATGTATGTATGCATATATGTATGTGTAAGTATCTGCCTCCCGACTACTCTTGATCTATCACCCAGAAACTGCCTATATATTATTTTTACTGAATCTACGTGCTTGTTGAAACGTCCACAAATCCTCAGTCCTGTCCATGGATTCATAGTGTGACAAGCTTCGAAATCACTGAGGGTCTAGGGGCTTAGAGATTCGGCGTTGACTGACCAATGCGATGCAGGTACTGCTCAATTTCCTTCGGCATGTCGAAGTTGACGACAAGCCTAACGCCCTCCACGTCGATACCACGCCCGGCCACATCTGTTGCAACCAGCACGTCGTACGAGCCTTCCTGCGAACGCAGATATTCAGGGATGCCGCGTAGGCGGGTAGGAGCATTCAGCAGCGAACATGCCCTAATCAGCAACGAGTAAACAAGGAGGAAAGCTGCCAAGACGCGCAGGGAGAGCTATAAGCACGAATGCTCCACGCAACATGCGACAGAAGCCAGAAGGGGGGTAAACAGCGCGACAAGATGAATATCAACTCAACGCTGAAATGGCCGACAAAACAAGAGGCACTGTCACGGATAGCCAAGGAGGTTTCAGTGGCGGGTGGCAGAAATAGCACAAGGCTATACTATCTAGAGAGAAGTAGAGAAAAGCCTTGCCTTGAAGAAGCTGAGCGCCGCTTCACGGTTTTCTTGTGCCTTCCCTCCATGGAGGGCGATAGTGCTGCAGGAAGGAGAGTTGAAAGCCACAGGGGATGCTGTGTGTCACTCTTCAGCTACACCCCGGTGCGTAACAGTAGGAGAGAAACGCGGCCAAGTGCCAGTGTCCTCCTCATATTCACAGAGACAGACGAAACGAGCGGCAGAAGCGTTAGTGCGCCGCACAGAAAGAAAGCAGAAAACACCAGACGGGGGGGGGGGCACGTATTGGTGAGCTTAAATCATTGAGAGATTTTGGCAGACAGAGACGCCATCGGTGCAAAAAGATGACGCTTGATACAGCAACTTGAGGAAGTCGGCAGAAAGCAAGCAGCCTACACACGAGACTGCTTCAGCAAAAGACTTTCAGGAGAGGTTCTGTTTGCGTGTGTGTGTGTGTGCAGACAGGCGTATGTAGCAGACCTGAATCCTAGCTTGCTAAGCGCCTTGGCCAGTGCATCCGCTGATTTCTTTTGGTTCACAAAGACCATCACAGGAGGCTCACTCTCCTCTAGCAGCTCCTGAATGCACAAAAGGCGGACACACGTGCAGCCGCGGCTGCCGACAAAAAAGCGTGGAAAATTGAGTTCTCCAGCTTTAAGGAGAGGTGCTGATGCTGATGCTGCTAAGGACGAGAGAAGAACCAAAAAACAAGGCGAAGCAGTGAGCAAGGACGAGGCTAAGATGGTATAAGGAAAAAGGCACGGTACAGAAAGAGAGAGGCATGAGGACGGCGAGCAGGAGGTCGCTAGGGGGGATGCATTCAGGTGGAGACTATAAATAGGCACCTGCAGACGCTGCTTCTTGCGAGCCTCCGAGATGAACTCGACGCGTTGCTCGATAGCCCGCTTTCCCGCTCCCGGATCGCCGATTGAAATGTACGAAGGAGCACGTAAATACTTCCTGCAGCGGCACTCGAGGCAGCAGAGGCAGTCGTATACAGAGTTTTAAGGCAGATGCAAGTGGAGTGACACCGAAGGGCTGGCATCGATGAAAGGAACACACGCCACCAACAACGGGTGGATGCGGCAGGCAGGGGGACACAGAAAAAGGGAAGAGACAGGAGGAACAGCAGCGCCGAGGAGGTGCACGAAGGCATAGGGTGTATAGCGGCGGGGGATGCTGCGAGAGACGATCAGGATAGGCATGAAGACAGGGGCATGCCAAAGGGAGACAGTGAGCGAGAGACTCGGACCTGGCTAGCCGTTCGAGTGCAGGAGGCATCGTGGCACTAAACATTTGAGTTAGCCGATAAAGGCGATGCCCAGCTTTGGCTTGCAACTCCTGCGCATGCAGCAAGCGCAGATGCCGCAGGCAGCTGCTGCTGGTAAGAGAGGAGGAAGGCGCGCAAACGATCCGGAGCTTCAAGAACCGCAGGTGTCACGACACTGCAGTACATCCGTGAAGGGGAGGATGCACAGGCTGGAGCGGGGAGGATTTATCAGCGAAAAACGCAGACAGGCCGCATCAGTAGAGTGTCCTTCCCACAGGGGGCAAGCAGGAACCCAGAGAAAGAAAGAAAGAGGGAGCGCAGGAGAAAGCAAGCGGTGGGGGTGGCGTGGCGATTTTAGACATCCAATGCGCACAAGGCCTCTGACAATGGAGGCGACAAGAAAGACACAAAGGAAGAAGGCGAAAGAGGAATTCGAGAAGGGCAGCAGCTCCTGTGTGGAGGGAGGTGCCAATGAGAAACTGCCAGAGAGCAGCGATTTCTCACTTCCAGCATGTACCTGTTGGAGTGCGAGAGCCTCATCCTGGCTTTTCAGATTCGTGGTTGGGATTGCATCGAGAATTGCATTGACAACCTCCTCAAATCCCAAATCAATCATGCGGTCTGCACAAAAGCAGGAACACAGCTAGCATTCGGTACGCTTATCCATTCTCTTGAGGACCCCGCCTAGTCTTCGGCAATACGGCAAGATTCGCTGCAACCTTCTGTAGCTCACGCAGAGTGGTGTAGTGCAGGGTTGCTTTGTGTTTGCGTGTGTGTTTGGCTGTGTTTGAGTGTGTTTTTGTATATGTGTGTACATGTGTATATTTGTGTACATGTGTATATGCGTGTGCATGTGCATGTGTGTGTGCATGTGTATATTTGTGTGCATGTGTATATGTGTGTATACGTGTATATTTGTGTACATGTGTACATGTGTGTGCAGGTGTATATGTGTGTACTTGTGTACATGTGTGTACATGTATGTACATGTGTGTACGAGTGTGTATGTTTGTATGTATGTGTGTAAGCGTGTGTATTCCTCTGCATGCGCAGCAGCCACCACGTCTGCAGGATGCTGCGCTGCGCCTCCCTGGATGGATAAAATGGGAAAAAGAGGTGCTTTCGGCTAACCTGCCTCATCGAGGACGACATAGTTGCACTGGTTAAGGACCGTGTACGCTCGCTCAAGACAGTCCCGGACACGACCAGGAGTTCCAATAACAATTTCCACACTGAATGAAACACCAGCGCATGCAATAGATACAGATGAACTCTACACCCGCAAGCCGATATGCGGCTCACCGATACGTTTGCGAATCAGCACAGACAGAGAACACAGAAGGTGGCCAGAAAAATGCAAGCAGCAGACGGCTCCCGTAGAAAAAGCAGAACCGCATCATCAACGTGCTCCGAGCAAAATGCCCCCCGAAGGACCATCCCAATATCTCAACAGCACTTTGTGTTTCAAGTGCTAACCCTTGTCTCAGGAGAAAAGCCTGATTCTCTGCGCTGCGACCTCCAACAACTGCCACAGACCGGCAGCTGCAAAAGGAAGCAAACTTTTGTGTTTCCTCCTCTATTTGTAGCGCCAGCTCCCTACGCAAGGACACAGGAACGCAATGTCGGAACGTTCGCTACCCCCTTCGACTCCCCCGGAAGAGTAGGGTAGCCTGGATAGGTCCTAGCCCTCCCGAGCAGCCACCAGTAGAGTCGACTTACACACCGCAGCGCAGCAAAAGGCAGACGAACAAGTGCCTCTTCGAGAGCGGTGCCTACCCGGCTAGGAGCCACGCAGATTGCATCAGCAGCCGCAACAGCAGCATCTAAAATTAATGATTTCCCACTCAAAGTACCTGGAAGGGGCGAGAATGAGGGCATATGGGCCGTCCTGCGAGGTCTCCTCAGTGAGGGACGGTAGCTGCTTGACGTATGTTAGCATCGGCAGCACGAAGGCTGCGGTCTTTCCTAAAAACCAATAGTACATAAGCACACACACACAAGCATATACACAAACATGCATATACACGCATACACACATGCATATACACGCATACACACATGCACATACACGCATACACACACGCATATACACGCATACACACATGCATATACACGCATACACACATGCACATACACGCATACACAAATGTGGCAAGCGAAAGCGAACTTTGAGGGCACTGGCGATGATCAGGCGCAGACGTCAGGCCGCCCCTGGGTACCCCATTGGGGACCATAGACACTCCATGCAGCAAAAGCAACAGCAGCAAAACTGGAACGTGCCTGATCCTGTCTCTGCAATGCCAATCAGGTCCCTCATTTCAAGGGCAATCGGAATAGCCTGCATTTGAATGGGCGTGGGTCGCTCGTAATTTGCCTGTGTAGAAACGAAATCCACAGAAATGCACGAGAGAGAGAGAGAAATAGAGACAGCCAGAGAGACACAGATAGACACAGATACAGACAGACAGCCAGAGAGACACAGATACAGACAGCCAGAACGCCGTTGAGTCTGTTTTTTCTCCATGAAGAACTGTGTAATTTGCGTCTCCCGATAGGAGCGGCTGTGCGTCTAGGGGGGGAGCCTCTGCAATGAGGTCTTTAGGATCTCTTAGCACCCCGCTTTCCCTGTCTAGGCAATTTTCCTCTTTTCCCCGTGGAGTCCACGCGCATCGATGGCAAGGGCAAGTATGCATATTTAGACACCAATGCACTGCGAAATCGCATCCTAGGAGCACCGACCGACGCACCTGCTTGACTGCCTCAATTAATTCCCATGGCAACTCGGCCTCAGCCCACGTGCGGATAGGCGGCGGTACGCGTCCTCCCTGGAGAAGGGAGGAACCAAAAGGGGTCGCAAAAAAGGAAGAAAAAAGACGAAGAGTGAGAACAGAAAACTCACGCAGGGAGGGCGTTGTGGAAACAGGAAAGATGCAAGACGAGTATGAGGAGCTTCAACAAAGGCTCAACGAAACACCGCGAACAGGAGAAAAACACATGCGGTCGCACACATACACTTGAAGATGCCCCTAGACAGCCTCCTCCTCCTCGGCTTTCTTCGCCCCCCCTACCTCCCCGTTCTCCCCCTCCTCCAAGGCCCTCAAAAAGTGCGCAATGCCACACTGTTTAAGATACCTTCAAATAGATCTCAAAATCTTCTCTGAAGATGCGCCAATCACGCTCTGTCATCTCTTCGCGCTTCTTCGTTGACCAGTGCCCTTCCAGCTCGGGCTCTTCCTGTGAGCCACAGACACCGCGGCATGCCAATCCACAGAATCGGAAATTCGTTCATGCTGTTGGTGTCTCTGAGGCTGTGTGGGCACGCTGCAGCACCCAGACTAAGAGAGAGACCGCGAATGCTCACCTCCAAGTCCATGGCTTTCTTCTTCTCGCTTGCCTTTGCAGCCTCTGCTGCAGCTGTTGCTGCAGCTGCCGCCTCTTCTGCTCCACGCTCTCTCTGCTTCAGCTCGTATTCTTGCCGTCTGCAATGCGAGCAACAACGCAGCCATCGACAGGCCGTGAACGAGAGGACATGAGGTCACGAGCTAGTAGACATGACAGGCAGGTACCAGGAGAAGAAACATATATATATATATATATATATATATATATATATATATATATATATACGCACACAGACATACATACACAGACATACATACACACACACACACACACACACACACACACACACACACACACACCCTCCGCCCGCGGTAGCTATCCCAGCACCGGCATGCATAGCAAGAGATCAGGCCCTTACCGCTTGACAAGTTCATCGTAAAAGTTGTTGGCCTTCCGCTGCTCACGAATATCCATACCCGCCCTGAATCTGAAAACATCTCGCACAGCACTTGCAGACGAAGTCTCCGCCAAATCCCGGAATGCAGGAGCACCTTTTGAACCAACAAAAATGACTCCGTCGCACAGGCATACTGTGTGTATGTGTATGTGTGTTTGTGTATGTGTGTATGTATTTGTGTATGTATTTGCGTATGTGTATGTGTTTGTGTATGTGTATGTGTGTGTATGTGTACATGTGTGTATTTGTGTATGTGTGTATTTGTGTGTCTGTGAATGTGTATGTGCAATAGTATGTATTATGTGCAATAGTATGTATGGATGGATGGATTTGTGTTGCTCTAGGTTTAAAGGTGCTCCGTCTAAACCAGAGCCTTCAATTCTGAGCTATAGGGCCTTCAAATTCACACCTACCCTCTTCCAAAGAGCAGCTGAGGCTCAAGTCTGTTCTGGTATAAAGGGTTGTTGTCGCCGCGCATCGTGTCTTCGCTTGCATCCCATTCAAAGTTGAATATGTTTCTGCAGACTCCACACACTCCGAGTACTTACGTGAGTTTCTTTGACTCCGCCTTTTGAGCGCCTATGCCCGAAGCCTTTCCCAGCCTCCCCTCCCCTTGCAGCCTTCGTTGCCGAAACTTGAGGTGCACTCACCTGAACTTTTCGGAAGGTTTTTGGATCTTTTTCTTTTCCTTCTTCATGCCCAAATAGTGCATGCGAATCTGCTCGAGCTCCTTCTCCTGCGTCAACCCCACGCGCAAAAACTGAGTTTTCCTCTGCCCCTCCTTCACATTCCACGCATGTCGGTTACGCTCTAGAGCACCCCCGCCACGCAGGTGCACGTGTCCACATGCCCTCGATGCCAATCGCAGAGCTTCCATAGGCATGCTGCTTCACATACTACACGCTTAACCTTAAACCCCAGGCCTGCCTGCTGCTTGGCACGAAGCTCCTGCTCTGGAAGGTTCAGCAACTTTAGATCTGCAAGCACGCTGGCCTCCTTGCTTTTTTGAGGTTGCCTTTCCTGCTCTCGCTGCTGCCGCAGCTGCTCTTCCCTCAGCCTTCCTGCGCACGGCAAAACACTCACAACCAACACCATCCACTCGGGGTGTAAAGAAGCTGCCACATTCCCGGCAGTCCACCGGAGCGACAGCACTCTCTCAGTCACTTACGCTGCACGTCAACACGCGCAAGCGCAGCTGCAACAGCAGCACAGTCCCGATAGAAAGACGCAGCAGCCGCACACACGCCACGGATTTTGAAAGGGCCCAGGCACGCCAGCAGACAGCCCACGCGGCAAGCCAAGCAGCAGCTGCCGCTGCACAACGATTACAATTGGAAGCCTACTGTCCTGTTCCTCCTTCACGCGCTCCATCTCCCGCTTCTTCTGTCTCTCCCGTCGCTCCCTCTCTCGCTCTATTTCCTGCGAGAGCAGCAGCACGCGCAACACACACAGCGGCAGCTCCGACAAAAAGTCTCAAGCCACGGCATTAAGACTCGCAGCAGCAACCCGCCAGCGCCAGACGGAGGGGCAGCAACACTGGGGGCATCCATCGGCTTTGCAAGGCAGTGTAAGTATTATGCACTTCTCTCTGAAGGAACTCCCTGCGCTTGTTCAGCATCTCCCTTTCCCTCCGCTTGAGCTGCTCCGCCTCGGCTTGCTGCTGCTGCTGCTGCCGCGCCTCTCGCTCCTTCTTCGACACAAACGCAATCTGTAAAGGTCCACAAGCGGCACACGCAGCAACACCCGTCCCCGGCGACAGCGCAGCTTAACACAGGTGGACAGAGGATGTCAAACGGCGGAAAAGGCACGCGAAACAGGCTTTGTCTGTGATTGCGACCTGCAGATTTCTAAACGTAAAACGCCAACAAGGGGAGGACGACAGCAGGGTAAAGGCTGTAAAAGCCCTTTTGAGGCTGAAAAGCGACTCCCAGACGCGCCGAAAGGAGCAGTCCACACATAGTCGGCAGAAGGACGGCGTCGCAAGAACAAACAACAGGCAAAGTTTGTAAGCGCAGCGTTCGGGAAAACGGACAGATAGCGAGAAGCCCCTTGTCCAGACCGACGCACACAGACACAAACAGCCACCCACAGTTGCACTGGCAGCCGAATTCGACGGAAGGGAGCAAGGTGATGAACTGCGCATGCACCTCCACGCAAACAGAGGATGCATGCAAGCGGGAAGCTCGAAGGGTAAGGCAGACTTCGACCTGACCCCCCCTTTAAAAATTCCGTGCATGCGGCCAGCAGCCATGAGGCATCGTGAAAGAGGGGAAGAAGCGGCTGCAGCCTATGCTGCAGCGAGAACGAACAAGGCTACTGCGCGTGCTGTCTAGGGGTGTCTGACGTGTATCAGCAGCATGCTTACCCTCTTTGGCTCCTCCGCTTCCTTGCGCTTCCTCTCTACTTCTTCTATGGAATACACCTCGCGCTGTGATGGACGGTCTGCCAACAGCAAGTAAGAAGAGAGCTTGCGTGCCTCACCCTGATTTGCGGTGCTGCTACGTTTGCTGCTGTCTTCCTTCGAGCTGTGCGGCCCATTGGCGTCGATATTTCCGCGTGTCATGCTGTTATTTGCGCTGCTGCTGCTGCTGTTGCTGCTATTGCTGCTGCTATTGCCTCCTGCAGAGTGAAGGCTTGAACCGTCTGCAGGTTGCGCTGTAGCAGACGCTGGTAACATGGCATCGACTTTGCCGTTGATGCTATTGCTGCTACTGCTACTAGTGCTGCTACTGCTACTAGTGCTGCTGCTGCTGCAGTTGTTGTTGTTGCTACTACTACTGCTTTTGCTGCTGCTATTGCTGCTGCCGCTCTTTGCAGTTTCTGGATGGCTGTGATCGACTCGTGCGTTGGGGTTCCTGCTATTGCCTTCCATGAATCTGTTGCCGTCTCTGTTGCTGGCATGCCTTTCGTGGCTGGATTCACCCTGTCGCTCCCTTGCACCCTCCTTGCCGCCGCTGCTGTTCTCCCGGTAAACTTGAGAGGGCCCGGTAGTTTTGTTGCTGTTGCTACTACTACTACTGCTGCTGCTGCTACTGCTACCGCTAATCCTGCTGCTGCTGCTGCTACTGTTAATCCTGCTGCTGCCGCAGTCCTCCCCTCCATCTCTGCTGTCCTTCCTGTTTCTGTTGCTCGCAGCCGGACGCAAGGAAGCAGCACGAATTTCAGTCTGTAGACGCTTTGGAGGGCCGCCTAAAGCATTCAGAGGCTCCCGCTTGAGGGGGGTCCCTGTGGTTGCTGCTTCCTGCTGCTTGCTCTTATTTGTACTTGCATCCGCGCTGCTGCCCGCAAGGCCCTGCTTGACACCATGATTATCCTCCCGAACACTCGTTGTAGCCTTTGGATCTGCAGAGGATGTGGCTGCTAACTCTGTAGCTGGCACGGCATCTGCAGCAGGGGGGGCTGCAGGTGTCGCTGCAGATGCCCCCTGCGCCTCAGTCATCGTGGGGGTTGCGTTGGAAGAGGAGTGCATCCAGAGAGCGCCTGCTAGCAAGGAAAGGGGCAAAAGGTGCCGTAGCCGCTGATATCCATGAGCACTTGCTACTGCCGTGGCTCTGCCGGCTTGTGTAGCGCTGCCGCGTACGGCAGAGAGGAGGGGCAGTTCGGGACTTGATAATGTAGGAAGACGCTTTGAAAAGGAGTGTTTGAGCACTTTTAAACGAAGTGAACGATGTATGCAGGGAGATATAAACGGTCACATACGTCACGGCTGCTCCTCGGGGCTTCCTTAGGTCCGTGCATGCAGCATGCGCCAGCAGCAGCAGGCAGCGGAAGAACATGATCTCCCTCGGTGCGCTAAAAATCAAGATTGAAATCCAGCTGTATTTCTGCTGGCATGGCAGGGCGTTGTAGCGCGCTGCTCCATTGGTTACAGCGGAAGCGGTCTGCGAGCAACCGCGGGTATCTTCGTCCGTTCCTGTGTGTCTAGGGGGGAGCACCAAGAAAACAGGAGCTGAGGGAAAGATGAGCTTTCTCCTTGAACAGCTAACTTGTTGCAGAACACTGCGGATCGCGCTCGCGAGCAGCTGCTGAACCCTACGCGCATCCACCTGAAGGGCCGAGTTGAGCCCCCCCTTTGCTGCGGCCTAGGCAGCAGAACTGACGCGTTCATCTGTGTGTGTCATCAGCTTCAAAGAAAGCAGGCAGGGGCAGCGGCATCCGAAAGCGAATCACTAGGCACCAACGCAACCCGTATCAGCTGCAGCAGGATCAGCTGCACAAGCGTTCTGCAGGCACTGATTTGCTGCAAGACGTGCGCGGTGAGCTGTCTTGCCCTCATGAGCTGAGGGTACACCAGGATGTCGAAGCAGGGTCGCCGCAAGGGTGGCCGTCAGCGGGATGCAGAATACGACAGCAGCGACAGCAGCGTGGGGCCCTCAGGAGGCCCTGCCGCTACTGCAGCTTCATCGAGTGGCGCTGGCAGGAAGTGGAAGCGCCGAGAAGGTGCAGATTTGAGTCTTATTGTTGTACAGGAGGACGTGGAGGCGTCGAGGTAACCTGCACCCTTGACCCCGAGGGCTGGTGGGCCTCACAGAAAAGGGGATTTGGCAAATACTTTTACAAGAAGCAAGCTCCTATTTCCTGTCGCATTTTCGCACCCCATGAAGCCCATGCTGTGTTTTCGCTTGTCTGTGGTGGGTAACTTCCTTCCTTTCCTGCTGCGGCTGCGCTGCATACGCAGGGTCGGTGCTGCCTCGTGGGCTGCTGCTTACGCCGGTCCTTCTTCCCAGCTCCCTCGGTGCCTCTGTTGCTGCTGCGGCATGCCAGGGCGTTTCAGGTGCACTGCATGCTTCAAGAAGCGCAGCACCAACACCAGCAACAGTGGTGGAGGACGTATGGGAACGGCTGGAGGGGCTGCTACAGCGCAAGCAGCAACTTCATCAGGGGGGCCCACGGGAAAGTACTTGTGCAGCGCAGAGTGTTTATCGCTGCACCGAGCAGCGGACTGTACGCCACGCCATATGCTCAACTGGCTCGGCTAGTTGTTGCTGTTACGGCACTGCTGCTCCCCAACCCGTGGCTACGGCCAGTGCTGCTGTAGACGACCGGTGGACACAGATGAGCACGATGTCTGGAAGGAAGAGAGAGCCGGGGGGGCACCGACTAGCGGCTCTCCTCGGGTAGGGCAGCTGCACATTATTCCCCGTTTCACCGGATGGAAGTTCCCGTGGCTAGTAGTAGAGGTGGTGCTACTACGATCGCGTGTCATTTTTTGCAGTAGGGATACACTGCAGAGATGCGGTTTTTTTTTAGAGGCGCGTTCTTGTGCAGAGCAGACACGGGTCACAGGGCGGCAACAATAGGCCTGTGTAACATTTGCGAAAGCGGCTGCCAGACTCTTTTCTTGCTGCTAGTCAAGAACACAATAGGTGCTACCCCCAGCAGGAGAACGTAGCAAACCTAAAGGCGCGGCCCCAGAGAGCGCTGTAGTATAGGCATAACACACGCAGCGTCCGGTGGGCAGAGAAAACGCACAATAGAACTGACGCGAGCGCGCACGCATGCATGCAACTCACGTCCCTGCATTACAGGAGGACGCAGGAACCGCCTTACCGTTGAGCGAGGGCCTCCCAACGTCAAGGTGTACAGCGGAAACATGGGACGCTGCTGTTGCCGTGTTGCTGGCTTTTGCAGCCAGCAGCAGCCGCCGCGATGGCATTGACTGACAGCTTAGCAAAAGCGCTTCCCCTACAGCTGCGGTTGTGTTGTGTGTTATACCGTCGCCTCTGCTACATTGTTTGTTCACAGTGCGCCTGCGGCACAAGGCCGTTTCCCGCAGGAGGATTTGTACTTTCCTCAGCAGTCTCGTGCATCAGCTGAGGCCCTTGCCGCTATCTCCGGCTGCGCTGCACCCAAGGGCGCGTATGACTCACGTGTTGCAGCAGCAGGGGCGACTATCAGCTCCGCTACTACAGCGGCAATAACACTTGACTCGATGCTACTGTCCCTCTAAGCCAAACGTTCATGCGGTTTGCTGGTGGACGCCCTACGGAGGGGTGGGAGCACACATATGGCCAACAAAGGAACATGTAGAAGACAAGAAAAAACATGCAACACTGCATGATACTGTTGTAGCTTCTAAGAAACGCAGCAGGATAGTTGCTTCTGACCCTACGTACCCTGCCCTAGATACACTGCTGCTGCTTTTCCCAAACCGCCCCTTCCCCTCCCCACCCATACCCGCTTCTTCTCAGCAACACTCTTCAAATATGCAGGTGCCCCCACAATTTTAGTGCCAAACTAAGGGAGCGATAGCTTCCCCTGCTGCAATGGCTCGCTCCCGATCAAACGGCAGGAGACGGGCTGATGGACAGACTCCTCCGGCGTTCATACGCTAGGCTACCACAAGCAGCAGCAGCAGCCTCTGCGTCTGCTGCTGCAACAACTGCCTCTTCTTCGGCTGCAGCGGCGGCAGCCTCTCGCGCTGCAGCGTCCTCCGCAGCCGCAACAGCAGCCGCAGCGGCGGCTGCCTCTCGCCTTTGACGATTTTCGTCGGCGGACACCTCAGTAGCAGCAGCAGAAACGCGACCTGTCAGCAGTGCCTCAGCTCCTGCCCCTGCTATCACTAGCGCTGACTGCCCTCCCCTGCCATGTCGCTCCGCATGTGCGCATTCGGCATCGCGAGCTTCGCCCCTTTGTGCCCTCCTCTCAAGTGAGCATTGACGATCTGAACGCTCACGGGAAATGCTGCGGCTGATACTGCGATACCGGTCGAGACTGGAGGGATTTCTCCTTTGAAAGCCGTCCGTCTGCTTGCTACCCTCACGCCACCCTCCGCCTGATACCCTCCAGCGAGCTCCCTCTCCGTGACGTTCGCACGGCGATCGGCTTCCATAGGCTGCTGCCCGCCCCCTAATAATATATGCATTACGGCTGTTGCTGCTGGCACTCACTTCATAGAATCTCCCGCTGCTGCCCCTCCCTGCTGTGCGACAGTCAACAAGATCGCTGTCTCTTAGAGCGCGAGACTTGCTGTTAGATGCAGCATAACCGCTCCGACCGTCTGCATTGGGCCTGCGGCTAGCATTCAAACCTCCTGCACTGTCCCTGACACTGTCGCCTCCGTACTTGTTGATGCTTTCTACTCGGCGTGCAGGGCTGCACTTACGCTCAGGATATCTGCTAACGTGGCTTCTGCCTTCAGGATATCTGCTAACGTGGCTGCTGCCTTCAGGATATCTGCCTACGTTGCTCCTGCCTTCAGGATATCTGCTGCTGCGGACTTGAGCATATCGACTAACGCTGCTGCTGCCTTCAGGATATCTGCTAAAGTTGCTCCTGCCTTCAGCATATCTGCCTACGTTGCTGCTGCCTTCAACATATCTGCCTGCGTTGCTGCTGCCTACAGCATATCTGCCTACGTTGCTCCTGCCTACAGCATATCTGCCTACGTTGCTGCTGCCTCCAGGATATCTGCTGCTACCTCCAGGATATCTGCTGGTGGGTTCAGGATACCTGCTGCTGCGCATGGTGTGGTCAAATGGGTGCATGATTCTGCTGCTGTTGCTGTTGCAAGGTGCAGAACTGCTGCTCCCGTTGTAGTGCGTGTCTCTGTGCCAGTTGCTGCTCCGGCTGCTGCCCTCTTCTGCGTGTTTGCTGCTCGGACTCTTACTTCTGGCTACCTGTAATCCGCTGCAGCCGCTGTTGCTTGAGGTCTTGCTCTTGTCGTTGCACGAGGGAGACATACGATTGCCCCTCCCTGTGCATTTTCTGCCGCCTTCTGGCGAAGGATTCCTTCTGCTGTAGGTGCTTGGGCTGTTTCGTGGAAAGCCGCTGCCACCTCTGCTTTCCGGTAGACGTGGCTTGCCGCTGCTTGCATTGCTTGCGCTGCGAGTGCTGTCACGAGCCTGTGAGCAGTAAGTATTTCTGCTTCGAGCAGGTGTCATGCTGAGGCGATCCTCCACGCCCTCCGGAGCTGCAGCGCGTTGCATCTCTCGGCTGGAGTGCGCTGCGTCCCTTCTATGGCTGCTGCCACGTCTGCGGCTTACGCTGCGGCTCCTGCATTGGCGATGATAGCAGTAGCTAGCGATGCTTCTGCTGATGCTCCTGCTAACACTGCGGCTAAGGCTTCTGTCTGCGCCGGCGGGTAGCCATCGAGTGCCGTCCAGCCTTCGCTGCTGCTGCGTAGAGTTACTCTTGCTCCTCCTGGAAGGGAAGACTCCTTTCGCCCCTGCCCGAGCAGTGCTTGCAGCCTGCTCGAGTGTGGACGGTGTGATTGCAGCTGCTCGTGCAGCACTGGCAGGAACCCTTTCCGCTAACTCCGCCCTCTCCCGCAGGCTCCTCTGCGACGGCCCTGTAAAAGAAGGACTCAATCCGCTGCTGCCCGTGTAGATCGGTGCATCCGAGTCGCTGCTGCTCTCGATAATGCATGCGTCTGCTGCAGCATCTCTGCTGCTGCTGCTTCTGCTGCTCCTGCTGCTGACACGAACGATCTCCCCAGGTCCTGGTCGCGCTTGCATGCGCAGCTGCCTAGACCTCGTCGGCTGCGCAGAAGCAGCAGCAGCAGCAGCAGCAGCAGCACCACCACCACCACCACCACCACCAGCAGTGCCCTCCTGTCTGCGCTTCTTGGAAGGCCCCACCTTTTCTTGAGAGCGGCTCTGCTTCTCCAGCCGACGCAGCCGCTGCTCCAGCCGCTGCTGCCGCAGCTGCAGCCTTTCCCGCATCGCTTCTCGGTGCGTTTCCTTCCTCAGAGCGTCATAGTTCAGCTTAAAGGCACACCGCACGCAAACGCGGCAAATCACCAACGCCTGCAGCACATGGACAGGCTCCACAGCGCACAGAGCGGCATCGGTAGGAGGCGTTGCCAGAGGGTAGGGCAGCCTCGTGTGCCTTCAACCCCCGCTACGCGAACAGCAGCACCAGCAGCCGCAAGTGATGCACAGTAATATACAGATATATATACACATAAATATATAGATACATATGTATCACTTCTAGCAGGACGACGGCTTCCAAGAGGACACGGCGAAATACCAGCATTCAAACATCTATCCGCAATACCTGCTTCGCGTTTCCGTCTTCGGTGTACTTGAAATGCATTTGGTAAGTGCGCAGTTGCTGCAGCACCTGGTGGCGCTGACGCAGCTGCTGCTGCTGCTCCAAAAGATGCCGCATCTTGTGGTCCTGCGTCAAGTCGATGGCAGGGGCCCCTGCTGCTGCGGCGGCAGCAGCTGCGGTAGCTGCGGCAGCAGCAGCGGCAGCTGCTGCCGCAGCGTCTCGAGCCTCTCGAAGCGCATGCGCCTCCGCATCAGCGCGATGAGAAGCCTGCGCTGCAGCTTTAGCGAGACTCGCGCTGCTGCGATCTTTGTGCATCTTGCTTGCCGTCGCGGCAAACGCTGCAGACCTAGCCTCGGCAGCAGCTGCTGCAGCTGCATCCTTCTGTTTCTCCAGCCTCGCTGCCGCAGCCTGAGCTTCCTTTTTGCACTCTGCCACCTTCGCCTCCAAAAAGTCCATGTCGGGGAGGCCCCGCTCTCTGCGGAGTGCAGCGATTTGCTGCTGCAACAGCGTCAACGCAGCGCTCGTATCCATCAGCTTCTGCTGCGTGCGACAGCCGACGCCTCCACAAAGGCGTTCCCCCACACCGGCCTCGATCTCCTGCGCATTTCGCCAGCGCAGCCCAACCTGAGACACACCCAGCAAAGCCAGCAGCAGTGCCGAGTAAAAGCAGCCATATTTCTAGAATTCAACTCGCAATCACGCACGGCCGTCCCGAGGCTTTTGCCACACGCGCCATATGGGAAGGCATCGGCTTCCTCAAAGCCCCCTAGCTCGACGGGGGAACGAAAGAAGGCAGAATACACGCGCGTGGTGCTGCTAACCTCGTTCATTTTGTAGCGGCTCAGGTCGCAGACAACGAGACGCCTCACAGAATCGCCCACGGAGATTCCCCTCTGCTGCAAGTCGTCCTTTTTCTATTTGCACATATTGGCACAGCACAAGCCAAGACAAGGCTACTACACACGCAACAAGACCTAAACTCGTATCAATCAACTGCGAGACGCTATATGCGAATGCACTGCCCAGCACTGCCTCATTCGCGGCTCAGAACCTTACTGCGACAAGCTCCAAAGGCCTTGCTCCTTCAGTACATACTTCTGCTGCCGCGGAAGACGGTCCTTGCGTGGCATCCTGAAAGCCACCATTGACGCTCCCTACTGTCCTTAAACGGCTGCAATCCCAGCCGCACTTTCGCTGCCGAGCATCACCATCACCAGTAGCAGTACTAGTACCAGTAGCAGTATTAGTACCAGTAGCAGTATTAGTACCAGTAGCAGCATTAGTACCAGTAGCAGTACTAGTACTAGTAGTAGTAGTAGTAGTAGTCTTGCAACCACCTGCAGTAGAACCAGCACTACCAACACGCTCAGAAGGTACTGCTGCCAGCGATCCTGCCGCAGGTGTTGTTGTCTCCCCTACCACCGCTGCTGCTGCTGCTCCTTCTCCTGCTGATGCTCCTTCTCCTGCTGCTGCTCCTTCTCCTGCTGATGCTCCTGCAGCGTCTTGCCGGAGTACGGGCCGCACGCTTGCAGCGCTTTCTTCTGAAGGGTGGTCAGTTGCCAGCTGCTGAACAAAGGCGGCTTCGGAAGCAGCCTTCTCCCGTCTTACTGCAGCGGAAGCAATCGGTAGCTGTTTTCCAAGCCTTGCCGGCTGTACTGCTCCCATGGGTGCTGCCGCTGCAGCTTTCGCTGCCCGTGGGGCTGTTGGTGGGGTTGATACACACCCGTTCGTCAACACGACGGTTCGCCTCTGTGCGGGGGGGGCAGTCGCTGCTGCTGCAGACAGCTTCATGGTTGATAAGGGGTTGCCTGGACGTGACGACGCGCTTATTTCGACGGGAGATTGAGCTGTCAGTGAGGGCGATCGGGCTGCTTGACGGACGGCGGGGTCAGCAGCAGCATGCAGAGCAGCAGCTGCTGCTGCTTCTTTCATCCCGCCTCCCCGTGGAGCTCGCTCTGCGTCATGCCCGCCTGAAGGCATCGCCACTGCGGGTGCTCTTGATGCTAAAGCTGCTCTTGTCGAAGGGGCTGAAATTCCACCTTTTCTTACCGCTCGCGTGGCTGCGAGGTTCTCTTGCGGCTCGGGAGTGCTGCCTGAGACCAGCTGCCGCGAGATTGCAGGCATTCCTCCTTGCGAACCTCGAGGTACAGCGCTGCAGGCTATTGCAGCCAGTGCAGGTTTTTTGTGCAAAGGTTCAGATACAGTCGCGTTCTGAAGAGACGTTCTCCCTGCAGCATTGTTGCCTTTGCGCTTGGCTGGCGTTTCAGATCGTGGCTCTAGCTGCTTCCCGCAGGCGGCTGCTGCAGTTGTTCTATCTACGCTTTCCTTGGCAGCCCGTTCTGTCCGTTTATTTGGAGCTTCTTCTATGCCATTTGACGTGTCTGCTGCTGTCTTTTGTTCGTTGTTTGCGCGTCCGGTAAACTCGCGCGGGGCTGGTCGCAAAACTGCTGCTGCCGCCGTCGAGACTACTCCCCTTGCAATGGGTTGCCTCCTCCCTGGTGGCACTGCTGCGTTTTCTGAGCCGATGTTACCACTAGTAGTGCCGGCACGGCTTGCCTCGGGAGTGATTCTGGGGGCCTCCTGGAGAATTACGCGTCTGCGGTGCTGCGGCTGAGGAGCTGTAGGGTTGGCACCTGATGATGGGGAGGGTCCAGCTGTGGCAGGAGAAGAAAGCCATTCCTCTCTTTTATGGCCAGAGAGGTGGACTCTCTTGATCGGTGGCAGCCATAGGGGGGCCTCCTCTCCTCTGTGCCGCGGAGGCTCCCTAAGGAGGGGAAGGTTGCGCCGGAAAAGTGCTCCCCCCTTGGTGTGCATGCACTCTGCTGTCTCCTTCCTTTCGAGTGCCATCGGCACTTGTCGTTCCTCCCGTCGCTCTGCTTCTGAGCGGCCATATTCCCCGGCGCGGTACTGGCCGCGCATCCTCTGCACCATGCCGCCTCAATGACGAGCGCACTAGCACGACTTGGTCAAAAGCGGCTTTCGCTAGTGCTGTAGCTCTAAACAGCTGTTGGACGGGGGCAAGGGGGTGCGGGGAGGGGCAGGCAGCAGGTGTCTGCAGTGCTGCGCTACACAGTCAGACTTCTGCATACGGTGAAGGGTGGAAGGGAGGTAGGACAGAGGGGACTGGCGAACGCACAGGACGAGCTCTTCCAAGAGTCCATTCCTCCTTCCACGGCGCTTAAATAAATACAAGGGACGGAAGAAATGGAAGAGGCGGCTTTCGGGGGACTTCTAGTGAGCCGAAACATGCGACGCGCCAGCCCGCCGACTAAATGACGAAGCTGGTCCAAAATACGCGACAAAAAAGTATTCAGGGAGGAATCGGCCTGCGTAATTCTAGCAGCAAACGCGTATAAATGCGTTATGGCGATCATTTCACCCTCTAGGTGCTGCCCTTCTTGCTGGGGAGCACACATGGGGGGCCCCTAAAAACCCCCCGACGGGTCTGCGAGGCAGTGACCGCAGCAGAGTGGAAGGCCGCAGCCCACAGTATTAAATCCCACGTTTACTCTTTCAGAAATGAGAACAGCTTTTGCTTTCACTGAAGGGATAGCCCTTGTTGAGGCCAGATGCTCATCAGTTGGCGAGATGCACCAACTGCACACATACCACACCGCTCCCGAGAGCAAGATAATGAACCTTCGCTGCCTTTCCGAAGCCCTCCCCGCCTGCCTCTCTGAGTGTAGAAGCGTAAGCTTGTGGTGTGCACATGCGAGCTGCTCAAGACTAAATTCTTAGCCTCCACAGTGAATTGTGTAGTCCAGTACCAGCTTTTTCGTATGGAGGCAGACTCATTGGCGAGTGTCCTCTTTCGTCTTAATCCCGTACTTACAAGACATGCAGCACACTGATACTGATGCTATCACTTCGCGGACCCTGCGTGCGTGAGCCGGTACTCGCGGTGTGGGCTGTCTTGAGCACAGCTGTAACGCCTCCTGCAGCGCGCAAGGCTACAGTTATGCACTTCCGATAATGCCCATTACAGATGGACGGTGCATACAATCACCCTACCCTTGCTCGTCAGGGTCCGGCATAACGGGAGAGAGACAGCAGTAGTGGGGTTCGACATAATTTTTGTGCACTTTGGAGAACGCACAACGCGTTGCTCATGGTATCCAGCACGTAGATACATAGCGTTCATCCTTTCCGCGTTGCACTGTATGTCTGAATATTCTATTAGATGCACGACCGGCCAAAGCAAGTACTCAATTCTTCGTAGTTCTCAGTCAAACATAACTACTGCAGTAGAAAACACTAAAGTCTAGTCTAGCGCGCTTGACTACAGGCTGCTGAGGGCATGAAGATGGGCGAGACAGCTCTTTTAGAACGTCATTTCAAAACGTACCTAAGCGTTGTACTGAGTTTGGATCTAAAATTGTCTCTATCTGGGAAGCCAAGAAGCAGAAGTTCTTCACAGTGGGAGCATCTTTTGCAAGTTGGCCTAATAACTTGGTAAATATTTGTACTGTGTTTGGGGGCTGCAGTGCCACACTCAGGAGAGCCTAGCATATGGGGTTTCTCAGAGCTCCCGACATTAAGGAAGACGGACAGCTAAAAATGTGCCCAGCTGCAACCCAAGCACTCTGAACATTCCCAGCTAGTTGTATATTGCTTCTACCGCACACAGCACACAAGATTGTCTCTTCTTTTGCATCGAAGTAACCAGACCTTGGCAACAAGCGATACGAACAAACAAGCCAACTACTCAGTTCTATTAGAAGTATGAGCAAATTCGTAAGTGGGCCAGCAAATACTTGCTGAAGTGCAGCGTATATCGCACCAACTTCCTTGCCCCGATTTCAAGCAGAATCCCTCGTTTTGCATACCTGTCCGTCGAAACCAATTACGTACAGGATAGCTTAAGAGCTCCTGCAGTGCCTCCATTCTCCAGCCATGCAGACACGCAAAAGACAGTGCACATTGCAAGCTCCAATGTGCACATCAACTGATAAGCAGAAGCTGAGGCTGAAAATGCATACACACTGACTAAAAGGTGGAAATTAAAAACGAAATGGCTTCGGCGGCACAATCATCCGCTGTCTTTGGGGCGCTAAATTGTGTAGGTCTTCTAGTAGAAAACATAAGGCTGGTCACATGTGTAAAAACAATTAAAATACATACTGGATATGCAGTGGCTCAACGCTTTCACAACGTCTGCAGGCAAATACGGCCGGTCCATGCCCAATAGTCGATTTCAAAGGCACAAAATAGGCAGAAGGAAGAGTGTACGAACAACATTCCTGAGAGTGCCTGTGGGCACATAGTCTTGTGTACGGTAAGAAAGCCGGTAGCTGTCAAGCAGCATACGCCGATGAAGGTAGTTATTTTAGGCAGAGAATGTGTTGGGGGACCCTGCCTAAAGAATGTATGAAATATCATGCATGGCGACTGCCGTTGTATAAAACCAGACGTGCACAGTCTCCCGCAAGCAACGAAGCGCACGATCGCTTCTCTGTCAACCGTGACTTTCCTATCCTATTTCTCTCAAATGTTCTTCTAGTGCGTCCTTGTCACTTTGCAAAACCGCGGCCTCCATACGTGTCACCCGCCTGCGCGCACTCCAACAACTTGGAGATCTTTGAAGCTTCTTTCTGGACCCACTATTAATAGGTATCTCATATCTCCAACTTCTGGGGGAAATGGCACACCAAACGGCAGCATTAATTTGTGATGCGCTGACAAATGGTCTCACCTGGCCACAAACTTCATTGTGCGGTCACCATATTCTCAAGTATACATCAAATCTAGTTTTCAGGCATAGAGTATGCGGATTCACCAAATTCAATGCTCGAGGCCCACAAATCTCAGCCTACTGCCGCTTGACATAATTCCGTGCTACACTCTCGAGCTTTACGCATTCATTTGCGTGCACTAGCAAATTGGTCTCCGAATTCCTCCGCTGCTAAGGGTGGCTGCTGACCCTGAACCACTACGTCAGGCTCGGATCTGGGGAAGGGTTCTCAGTGTAACTTAGGCATGCAAAACAACAACGGGCAGTCAAGTGTACCGTCTTATTTATTCACCCGTTTTGCAGACAGTAAAACTTCAAGCCAAGCACTTGGACTTGTGTGAGCATAGAGTGGCAAATACTGCAGAAGGGTGTGACTGGTGCGCTCTGTCTACTCATCTTCTTCAAGTTGGTCACCAACAACTGGGCAATTTCCGGCTTCACGATAGAGCGGGAGTAAGGGGTGAAGCGAACATATTTGATGAGTCTCTCTGCGCGGATGATATTTTGATCCCTAAATCCAGGCAGTCTAACTATGAAATCCATAGTCTTATCAGGCCACATCATTTGAGCCACAGGAAAGGCTTTGTAAAAGGCCGAATACATAGGACTTTTGCAGCTTCAGCTGGTGATCACCTAAACATGACAGGGCATTTCTCCCCTGCCGGTGGGAAGCACCCGAGGCTACCAGATAGAGCGGAGGGACTTTCCCAGTGCAGTGTGTGCTTCACCATGGCTCAAAAGGACATCAGCATATGGTTCGCGCAAGATGATACTGCGAAGAAAAGTTGAGAGGCACAAGCGACGGTCTCGCCGCTCTGTTTCGTACCACCGCAAGCCACCCTCCACTTAATAGTGCTTTATTCTGTGGCTATATACGATTTTGGCAATAATACTGAATGCAGGGGCGTCAAAAGCATACGATTCACTTGAATTAGATGAGAACCGTGAAGCATCAAAGAAAAGAGCGATTGTGCGTCAGGACATTGAACTCTGGGGGTGTCCCTAGTAGGCGCTGACCACATTGTTGCAGATTTCCTTTATATACCTTACTGCACAGTACTGTAGGGGTGCAAAAGCCAGAGAACACCTCTGGGTTTGGCAAGTCCTGAAAACATTTTATGGGGTGCACTAAAGGCTGCTGTTGGGCTGGATAGTTAACCGATGCCCATATAAATATTGCCGGAAGTCTTAAAAGCCCCAACACAACGCAGAGAGTCCTACTTCTGCACGTGAATCAGCTACTAAGATTCGATCCACCGGTGAGACTGACAATCAGTAATTCGGTGTTTTCAAGGACCCGCTGCCTGTTAGGAAGAGCAGTAAACAACGCTACTTTACTAGGACCATTTGCTAGAACGAAACGACGTCCCTATTCAGGCAGCACAAATGTTGGAGGAGTTGCAAAGGAGCCGATAAGCGTCCTACTTGTGGCATCGGCCTGCTCTCTTCAGGTTAGAGACTGCGCCTTCTTAGGTCGATCAATCAAAGCAGCAGCATTCCGATCAACTTCACACATAAAGCTTCGGTAACAATATGCAAGCCTGCAGCTCACGAAGTATTTGCGGGTGTGTGGAGGTGAAGACAGCTCCTTGATTCAATTTTTGCCAGATCTGGCTTGATTTCTGCAGCGGAAACGCATAATCCCTTGAAGCGCAATTGTGTTTGTGCGAAGCAAAACCTTGCTGCCTCTCCACAACAGTACTTGCCCTGCGACAGCTGAAGCGCACGCTGGAGGTGCTGTGGGTGAGCTTGAACCTTTCGGTGATTACTGCGACGCCGCCGTTGATGCAACTATCTAGCCCTTCCCAATAGGTTCCTCGACGAAACCAAGCAGGTTAACACTCCAGTTCTGGTGGGTTTTAGCAAGTTCAAGCGGCATACAGGCGAACTCGAGTTTGCAACTGCGAATGTGGAACGCCTTCTTGTGTCTTCCATCAGGGCGATGGCGAATTCGCAAGAAAGCGTCTTTGGAGTCGAGTGTAGAGTAGACTGTTGATTCATGTAATTTGTATCGTAATCCGGCTGGAGGGGGCATCGAAATGTCCTGATTCACAGTAATCGTGTTTGGGGGATTGAACCTAACGCACTTGCGCGCCACCTTCAGCCCTCCACCTGACAAGACTGGTGTATGCCCCGAAGCACTGGTTGATTTCTGTACTTCGCCTTTTCCAACAAGTCATCCGCCTGA